ATCTAGGGACGGCTCTTTACTAGGGATTGATCATGCAGACTAATGCTTTCGTGGTCCAGTCATGTACATGTGCCGCACGTCCTTTTTCTTAACTTTTTTTGAATGGCATTACTTGATCAACACTTCTCTTCCGCACCAATTAATCACCAAATGTCGGTTTAAATGGGTAGTAACAAGCAAACATGCAAATCAACTTGTCGACGGCAAAGACTTTGAGAGATTCAGGTCTTTTCCGAATGATATATCCTGGAAGCTGTTGATGAACGAATCGATACATTAAAAAAAAATAGTCGATCTTAAATTAAATAAGACACAAAAGAAACCGGCACGCTCATGACAAAATGCACCATTTCTCTCTGAAAACTTTTACTACTGCTTTTTTAACACACAAATCTTTACAATCTCAAGTAGCTCTCGAGCTTTTTCCCTTTTTGGTATTTCGTCGATGGATATCAAGTTCAAGTTTTCGCGCTCGATGACCTTTGACTCGATCGACGTCAAGGACGGTCGACCTTCTATTTTGGCCGGTGATCTTAAGGATTCGTCGTCAGAAGAACTTCAATATTTCCTCCCATTCCGATCTTCTCAATGGTGATGCCATCACCGGCGTAGGTTTGAGCTTTTTATGTCGGTCTATTTTCGTAGAATTGCATAATTTAGTTTTGCATAGGTACTTAGCAATGGAACGTTGACGTGAGCCGAAATGAGAACTAATGTCAACACTATGTGGATTTATGGAAGAAATTATATATAATTTGGATGGGTATATCAGTTTGAAATTTTTGTGATATGAAAAACTAGTTTGGAATAAACGGGTATAAGCGTAACAATTTTAATTTTTTCTGTGCTAATAATTCGAAGTCTTATAGAATGGGAACGTGTCACTCCATATAGCAAAAACCCAACTTTCAAAAAGTTCCTACTTTTTTAGCTACGAGTCCCACGAAAGGTGGTTCCTTTTCCCCCCACTAACTTTCTTTCTAATTTTTTTTTTGGCTACTTTTCTCGATCGCCTTTCTTTCGACATCACTTAGCGCCTCCCCCGGAAGAAGACATGCAGTAAAGCGACATTGGTGGAGAGAACGACAAAGAGAAAGAAGAGGACGTGCATATAAGCCACATTGATTATCAAAACGCCACCAAAACCACGTCTGTAATCAATGCCTCGGAGAACCCAAAAACAGCACCGGAAACGTGGCCGAGCACGAAGGAATATAAACCCACCCACCCACCCATGTGCTCCGCGGCGTGGCTGTTTCTTGGATCAATCGATTGGATGGATGTCCCCTCTTCTTTAGTGTTTTCTAATAGATGTTGAAGTAGGGTCAGGGCTAATTCGCACGCAGAGAAATAGCCAGAGACTTTTATCTTTACCCATGCCATCTCCACATCAGGCTGTATTCGGTCATGGAGACCTTTTTTTTTGCTAGATAGGATATAGTCGGATAGGATAGACATCGGATGAAATAATGATGAAATTTGTAATGGTTTCCAGAGTATTTGGGCAAATGATTAGATATAATGGAGATATAACACAAATTCTATTCTCTCCCCTTCCACCATTGCGCTATCGTCATTAGGTCGCCATTGCCTTCCGCCGCCGCCTGTCGAGCCACCGTCGATATCGCCTCACCTTGTTGTGCCATTGCCTCACCTTGCCTTCCGTCGCCACCTCCTCGCCTCTGAAGCTCGTGGACACATCGTACTATCAATGAGCTCATGGACACATCGTACTTCCATTGATAAATGGAAGCGGATGATGGGAATGAGTGGCTTGATTTCTTCGATTCCCATGAGGACAATGCATGATTGTGTGAGAGATTGCGGAAAGGTGGAAACTTTTCCTCGCAAATGAAAGGTATGTGTAATAGAGAGGACGCGCGAGTTGTGAATGAGAAGGGACGATGAATGAAAGCTCTACCATCACACTAGATTTGGGTGAAGGTAGATGTCGATCGGGAAGAAGGGAACATGATCTATTTGCTGGTGTTGACAACCGGCAGTGGTCGTAGGCAACAACAACCTCATGGTGGTTGAAGGCAACTATCGACTATTGCAGTAGTGGTCTTCGCATGGTGCCTAACTTATACCATGGATATGAGTAATCCTATTCATTTTTATCCCACCTCTCAAATAGATTTTTTTAATCTGGATTATATCCCTCTTTTATTTAGTCTTATCCTTTCTTGGACAACAATCAAACAAAAGATCGGATAAAGTCTATTATATTCTGACTTTTATTCCGACCACTAAACGTAACTTAAGAGAATCGTGCTTGATTTGGGTTTTCGCATGAGAAAGTAAGTTCTTAATTTATTGGAGTGACGGTACAGTTATATTTTAAACGCTTAAACTGTAAAATGAAGACATGATCATAGATTAATTATTAACATAGTCAAATCCTCACGAGGTGTCCTGTTTCTCCTGTTTCTCTCACCAGGTTTGGCTAGAAAATCTTAAAAGTCTTGCAAAGTTGGGTTCGTGCTTCTGAGCGAAATAGGTCTGAAAATTGATTAAAAAATCACGTTATTGGATCCAACTCTGATTCGGCAAGAACTTGAGCCACAAACTTAACACAGTGTTGACACGTTTCTCACTTTTTTTTTTCTTGACTCTTTTTTTGCCGTTGATTTGACAATTTTGACTATTTCTATCCAATGAACTCACGAGTCTCACGGTTTTCACATTGAGAGAGGAAAAGAACACGCTATAAGGTTTATAGATCATGTAAACCAAGTCCATCTTTATCGTTGATCGTGTTGTTATTGGAACGAGAATGACCTCGGATCGCCTTTGAAACAGGCCAACCGGATCAACTTCCCGCAAAATAAAAGAGTCCCCTGAGGGTTGGCCATTGAGAACCTCCTACGCCCGAGTCTGCATATTCCCCATAGTAATAAAAGTGAAATCGTTTTTCTTTTGGATCAATGGGACATGTCTTCCCCCTTGATGGCTTTGCTCTATACTCTATGTACCCCGGGAGGTTTACATCAGGGCCACGTTCTCGTCCGGTCACCACAATCGCGGATATCATCCATGTTCACATTCGATTAATTTCGCACGCGGGCGGGACTCACAGCCCGTAACCTACCAATCAGATGGATGGTTGGAGGGAAAATACAGCACTTCAGGATTAGACCAGGCTAATTGCTTTGATATGCAAATGAATGTTACTCCACCTTGCAAAATCTGCCGGATCATTTTCTGGGGTCCAGTTTGAACATCTGTTTTTGAGTAAAGAGAACAATGTGATCTCACTGGTAGGAGCCCATGGACCAACCCTACCACATCAAGTCATCAACACAGCAAGGCCCTTTTCCTAATGATTCGTGATTGGTCATCGCTTAGCCCACCTTGGGCTCAACTCAATGAAAATGGAAGGCCCGCTCAAGTTAGATCACAGGGCCAATGGTCATGCTCTTTTGCTTTTTTAAGAGCATTTAAATTTTACACACGGGCATAGTCATATAATCCTACTCTAGTAGTAGCTGTGTACTTGTTGAAGTATTGTTCCACATTATTTGACAAGAGATTTTATATGCCACATATATATATATGTATGGTCCTTTTTCTTTCATCTAATCGCTTAAGTTTTTGAGTTAGACTTTCTAATATGGTATCAGAGCCAGTTCTATCCTACATGATTGGGCTCACTCTTTTTTTCTATATTGACACGAAATTCCTTTCGTCTTAGCTATCGTTTTATTCATATCGATAAGTTGGGTCACTGATATTACCAAATAGCTTACATTTTAACATGTATGATTAGATAATTAATTAATGCAAGACGGATAATCAAAGCAAAGTTGTGTTAGGTCGTGTGAGTTTCAAAGTAAGCGTGTGCTTATTACGGCATACCCAGATCTCAAACGATAAACTTCTCTTATTTCCTATGATTAATTATTGTCCTTTTTTACTTAATGATCACGTAAGCTCTCTCTTGAATCTCTGAACGAGAGTTCGAAATTTGGTGAGAAACACTCCTTTTTGTAACCATTAACACATTGTATTCTCGTATCTTTTTTTCCATATTCACACAATCCACTGCAAAATCGTATTTAGGTATCTTATTTTCCATATACAAACTAAGTAAACTTCCCATTAATATAAACTTTATGTCGTTAACATCATCTACATATGAACTTTGTACGTATAAATGATATTTTTTCGGCACATTCGAATACACGTATTACTTCACACAAAATATTTTCATTTTCAAAATAGATAGAGAATTTTCCCAACACTTCAGGTACAGGGCCACAGCCAACCCCATCCCTCATCCTACGTTTGATTTCCTTTTCTTCAAATTTTTCTCTTTTTGTTTATGTCACATATTTATTCTTTTGAAAATTTGAAAACAGTTTTTTTATATTAAAACTGCCACATGGGATGCTACCTATGGTGACATGTCAGCATAATCACTCAAAAAGTCAAAAGATAAAAGAGAGCATTGCCGACTTTTTTATTAAAAGCAGAGGTGAGGAGACGAACTTGCCCTTTGGTCGAGGGACATTCGAACTTTTTGCGTAAAGCACTTTTTTAAATAAATTTGCCTCCCATTGACTTTCATCGTTCTTTGAGAAAAGTTATGGTGGGCGAATCTCTTCATGGCGTCCGACGACGTGGTTGTACACAAAGCGAGGTTGGCAAAGATTATCGGAGATATATGTGAAGGAAGAGCACGTTTATTTTTGTTGTTCGAGAATAGCTGAATAATCTTATCGTCGTCGATTCAGTGGAATAGTAATTGAAATCAATGGTTTTAAGTCAGGGCGGGATTTAAGTGAGTTGGTGCCGAAAAGTCGGTCCTAAAAGTCGGACAAAAAAGTTCTTTCTCGCAAGGATCTTAACAGTTTTCTAAGTTTCTTTGAATTAACGTTTGGACAGCAAAGCAAATGCCGTTAGAATGAATGAATGTGGGTTGGACCGAAAAGAGAACCCGACCGACCCGACCGACCCGTTTCTGCGTTCGGACCCCCTGTAACAGCAGCATCAGCTGCTAGCCTAGTACTTCTCTGAACTCTCCTGCATATCATCTTCTTCTTCTTCGCCTCCGAACCCGAAGCGACCTCCGTCGATTCGATCCCTCGCCGGAACGTCGAGCATGAACCAGCTTCATAACGCAATCAGGTCGGCCTTCGCCCTTCGGGGCAGCAGCGCCGCCGCCGCTCGAGGCCTCCCTCCGCTTCTCCGAGACGCGCCTCGACGACCTTTCTCGACGGAGCCGGAGCAGCCGGCGCAACCGGAGGACTCGCCGGCCGATCCATTCCTTCGAACTCCGAACACCGGTTCGCTTCATGTGCTTCTTATCTTCGATTACAGTCTCGATCATTTGCTTCGTCGTTGATTCTCTGTTCTCTGCTCTCGCGTTAGCGTTAGGGTTTATGCCTCCATTGTGATGAGCGGCGGTGCGCGTGTTAAGTGTTTGAACGGAGAAAGTAGACGGGAAGAGAGCACATTCGAGCAATTGCGAGCTTTCTTTCTTAGAAGCAATGAGATGGAGTGATCAAGTATTGCTCGTATGATTTCCATTTTGCCTGTTTGATAATGGCCTCCTTTATCCAAGCGTTTGGATAAGTATAGATCAGTCCAACATGTTCTCGCATTGAAAATGGTGGTTTTGATTCCTTGGTTTTTACAAAGGATTCATGAGGGTAAAATGCCGTGTGGCCTAGTTATTTCGATAAACACACCGAGCCTTTCCTAGATTTGGCTTGTTTACTCAAAATCAATTTTGTCTTTCCGTCAGATTGTCTCTGAATCTCTGAGGGAAAATGGATGTTGAATGTTTAAGTTCATTGTTCGTGTCATCAGTGTATCGTTTCATCGGGCTTTGGACATATGAATGCTTCCGATTGGGGTTTTTGGTCTGTTCTACTAATACTTCTTGCTCCCTCCCTCAGGTCTAGTTTATGCAAAGTTATTTGGCGTGTCGAGACACACCTTGAAGACTGATATTGTGAACCTGCTTGAAGGTTGTAACCTGAGCCTGGATGATGTCAGATTTAACTACAACCGGATGTTTATGCCAATGGGAATGTAATGTTTTCTTCTGTTGTACTTAATACTTTTGGTTTTGGTACGATCTGCAAACTAAAAGTTGCAAAAACCTCATTAGTTTTTGTTGCACACTGGTTAGTCAAACACCTCTTTTAGGTTAATTAGGATGTATGTGGAGGTAGAACAGGAAATTTTTTGAACTCTACCACCTCCTTTTGCAGCTTGAGTGATTCCACAGATCCTCTTCAATGCTTACGTTGTTTCTTTCATTGTGTTTGAGGGGATTATATATCAAAGCTTCAACTGTTCATCCTCATCTATATCATTTTTGCATTCAGGATGGTGCAGTTTCCCTCTCGGTTTGCATTTGATCAGGCTTTTAAGGTGATTAGCAAGAAAGGTCGCTTGTACAGATTGGAGAGGGTAATTCTTCTCACTTATGTCAGTTTTCCAAAATTCCTTAATATTTTGCATCATTTTGGTACTGTGGTTAATTGTTGACTCTTGCATCTCAGGCTGATCGTTCGCAGTGGGATCTTCTCATGAATTATGATGGGAAAACGGTAAGCTTAAGCTTCAATTTAGAAACAAGAGAAAGAGACATTTAATTAGACATACCTATTTTGGTGCACTTAGTAGAAGGCTATTGAGAAGTTGACATGTGGCCGTCTCATTGAGTGACACATCTTCCTACTTCCAACTTTTATTTCCCTTCATTTTATTTCCAACTTCCAAGAAATAGCTTCAACCAAAAAATCCGTTTCTTAGCCCCAAAGTCTTTTAATTATAGTTTTTAAGTCATTTACTACTCAAAAATCAAATCTTAATTAGATGAAAAACCCAACGAATAAAACATAAAACTAAAAATAAAAATTAAGAAATGAACTATGAAGTCATATAGAGACCATTCCTTAATGTTTCATAGCGTAAGCTAACATATTGCAATCCAAAACCATATTGATTTTTTTCTGTATAGTACAATTGAGAGGTAATTACAGCTGTTAAATCTGTCACATGTTAGAGTATCTCATACACATGTGGAAAAGGGATCGATTACTTTGTGCCTTGAGTATCTAAGTAGATAATCTAAGCTCTTCAGAAGCTAGGTTATGAGGAAAAAAAAGTCATAAATTTTGACTATGTAAAAAATCCTATATTTTGAAAATCCAGTTTAATTGAATTATTTGATTGAAATTTGCTCTTCGCTTGAATTGAAAATTTTTCATTCTCTTGTGCAATGCAGGGGCAAATAAATCTAGTGATAGAACTAGTTTGATACTTTTTTAGCCAAAAAAAAGAACTAGTTTGATACTTTTTTAGCAAATAAAAGAACTAGTTTGATACTTTAAGGCTCTAGTCTTCCTCCTTGAGTAACTAGCTATTTGTTGCTTTATCATTGTATGTTGTTCACCATCATGATTGGCATGCAGGTGTGCTCGTCATGTTGCTCTCTCTCTATTTTAAGAAATTCTAGTGTTTGTTCTTCAATCCTAGAACTAAATTTGTTTAGTATGTGTACTTAATTAAATCTTTGCAATTTCTTTGAGTTTTCCTCACGTCTTTAAATGTAGTCATTGATGAGAACTTGATTAATTCTTTGTTATTTGATATGATCGGTAGAACATGTCCTTACATGCCATGCTAAAGGATATGTATGAGAGCTAGTCAAAACTCAAAATAGCATCCACAGCATCTGGGGATTCATCAAATAATTTCCATTGGATAAATTGGTTACACTTGGTAATCATCCTTTGTGCATATGTGTCCGGTAAATGAATTGTGCATATGTGTCCGGTAAATGAATTGATAGTCTGTTATTTCTGAGTAGTTTGGTGCTGGAATGTTGAATAAGTTCTCTTCGAACTTCACATTTCCCTCAGAAATTTTGCTGGTAAAAAGCAGAGCTTGCTTTAGTTTGTTCTTCATGCATTTTGTGTGCTGGAGATTTACTCTTTTTATGTGGTTAATTGGCTTCGACTTGAAAACATGTAAGAATTGATATGAGCTGATTTGATTTGCCTTTGTTAGCTTTTACTGCAAGGAATCCCTTTCTCTGCTACTCCAAATGATGTGGAACGGTTTATGTCTGGATGTCAATATGATGCATCCTCCATTCAGATGATGGTCAGGTTAGCCAAATAGCTCTCTGTAAAGTATTTTGCTTGATAAAATCTAAAACAAGCATTCATGGAGATAATATCTTTATTGATCATTATACTTGTATAGATATTGTGTGAATAAATCTTCTGTTCAAAGAACTATCTATTTCCTACAAAACATACTGCACCCAACCAGGATGAAAATTTATTTTGGAGTGATTTTGAACCTGAACCTTCATTTTCCATGTCAGCGAATGAAATTTCAATTGAAAGCGTGAGATCCAAATGCCGAACAATAACATGTCTTTTAGCACCATTCCCCAAAGATTCAGTTCTTGGTCTTATTCTTGCTATTGGTCGACAATCTTGCTCTTGCTAATATTTCCCTAATCTCCTCCATCGTTAAGGTGGAGAAGATATCCATCTGATCATTCTGCCCTTTCTAAGAAATGCAATTACTTTTTGTTGAATGGCGATATTATGCCATTGGATTCGAGTAAATCTGAGCTGTGTAGGTTAGAAGCATGGTCATGATACCTTTTCATGGGTTATGAGGAAGATGAGTGTGTTAAACCCTTTCCTTGCAAGGAATTCTGGGGCTAATTATTAATTACAAGTTCACGCAATCTTGTTGTTGCTCCTAAGGCAGCAAGTGGTAGTACTTAAGATTTTATCCTTGCATGAACAAAAATGTGCTAAGGGTGGCAATAGACTGATCAAGAAGTGCCTTCATAGAATGAAAGTACGAGAGACATCGTAAATGAAAGAGTTCATCTTCTTTATTGTGGTGCTTGCATGAACTTTTTTAAAGGTGAAATGAAAGGGTTTTGAAAAAACTAAAGATGGAACTATAGGTCTAAAAATAAAAGTCATGACTTAATGATGTTATAAAGGAGCTTACATAAGTATATGCTATTAACCCAGCGTGGCTGAAATTTTCCGGAAGCATTGGTTTTAAGTCCCCCCTCATGTAAATCTAATGCATTTGCAGGCCAGCATTCCCGGATCCAATTAAGATGGCGACTGTGAACTTCCCCTCGCAGATTCAAGCGACGAATGCTTTCATCACCAAGAATAGAGGTTTCTGCCAAAATAGTCAGGTTTTGTTGCGAGTTCTGCAGTAAAGGAGTTGCTCTTCGTGTTCCCTATTCCGATCTGTCCACAATGGTTTTAGATATAGTCTGAGGAACTGGGGTATCCAAACGGTTGCTTGTTCTTTTCAGCTCTTCTTTTCCTTGGTTAGGAGCTTTTTCAGCCATTTTACCCTTGAGAAGGTCCATTTTTGGTCGTTTTAATTGGATTCAGGCCACATTGGTCCCTCCTATTGTGGATTTTTTTTTCCGTCTGTCAGATATCACTCTCTTTTTATCGTCTTTGAAGTCTTCTTCCTTTGGATTAGGAGCTGTGCTTCATGCGGTGGAAATTCCCGCACGATAAGGAGATAAATGGCCAGTGAATGCCACAAGGTTTACCTGGTAGCATGATTTGTTATGGTCAATCCCAGATCAATTGTTGTACCTTGCTGTAGCTTGGATGTGCTTGCCTCTGGAACGAGAAGAGAACACTTACCTTTTCTGGTCGCATTTTGAAAATCAAGTCTGTGGTAAGAGTTCTCCGAATGCGTTGCATCTCTTTAAGTAGTTGGTGGTGCCCATTTGGTCCTTCTAGCAGCTGCTCGAGTAACTAACAAAAAGGTTCTTTAAAAGTATTATCTAGACTTGGGGGTACTCTTTCAGCTCCAATCTTTTAGTTCATGATTTAAGCAGCTTGGGTTGGGTGGGTGGACGCATTGATTGTGCAAAATCGTGCAGGGTTGCTCGGTGGTAGAGCGAAGTGCAAGGTGTCTTTTAACTGGGATTGCATGAGTTCGCAATCATGTGCCGGTATTATGACATTTCAAGAATGATGAGAATTGATGATTAGTCGCGACATAGTCGTTATCTGGCATCGAGTGGCTCTTCCCTTTCATTTGTTTCTGGAAGTTGTTTACGTGATCTATGAAGCAAACAACACGGGAGATGAACTGTCTGTGGTTTATTAGTAGGCTCAAAGGCTCTTCACTTTTGCGGGCGTCAGATGATGTCGCGTGTGGAGAACTGGTCTTGGTCGGTTCGCGACGCGGTACGGTTTATTGGCCGTCTCTAAATCCCCGTGCGGGCGTGTCTCTGTCTTCGGCCATTTCGCAGGCTCTCCATCTTTTAATCTTCCAAAAAAATGAATTCGGACGATTGCGGAGACGGGAGGGAACAGGGACGGTTCAGAGGCATCACGTGACATCAACGCCCAGAATTTACACGCCTCTCTCTTGCGTGGTGTTTGTAGGGATGGGTCAGTCATTGAATAATTAAATCCAACTCGGTCTCGCCGCTTTTGTTTTTATGAATTTTGTTAACGAATGTCTCGACACCTATCGAGCAATAAAAACAAAGAAAATATATGATTTTAAGTGCACATATCGGGTTGAATTATGCATACTCAATATCTTGAGAATCGAAATGATATCGATTATGCAACTACACATTCATTATTCCTGCATGATTAAAAAGGAGTCATAATTAGGGTTTAGTGTTTGGTCGGTGAAGCATACGGTTAATTCCCAGAGAGAGAGAGAGAGAGATTTGAGGTGGTCTCAAGAAAAAAACGAGGCATGTTGAAGTGGGAGGGGACAACGAGGTTATTGTCCTTTGACATGAAAATCGCCAAAGGAAAATGATGGAAGCAGTTCATTAACTCATAGCTTTGGACAGATCACTGCAATAACAGTACAAATAACACTCACAAGTCTCAAAACCTGTGTGTCCTTTGTGCCTTTTACCAAACCAACCCAACTTACCTCCCTAAAACAAATCAAAACATAACCCCCTCAAAAAGAAAAGAAAAACAGAAAAAAGGGAAAAAAGGGAAAAAGAAGCGAAGAAAGTGTTGATCTTAAGAACCGTCGACCCTCCAAGGCTCATATCGCCCAAAGAAGAAACAGGAACAACAAAAACAGCTAGCTCTACCTGCCAGGTGTGTTCCCCGAGTGAGTCATGATCACAATGTCTTCCAAAAAGGTACATTGAAAGCTTCATTTTGCATCTTGCCACAAGATCTTCTCTGTATCTTTTGAGAGGCGTCACTCTCTTTTAAAGAGAGACTCTGAATCTTTGAGTCTCTGATTCTCTTCCTCCAGTACCGTTATAGAAGTGCTCAATCTTTTCTTTTGAGTTATCAGTAGGTGTTCGCGGCATGTTCGTATAGAACAGGAATGGCAATTAGCCGTCTAGAAGAGAAAATATGCAGGTGGGCTTTTGATCTTCATCTCCCCTTTTTTCTTGCTGTCTAGCCATCAGTCTCATTTTAAGTGCCTAACATTGGAGTGGCCAGTGTCGAGAAAACCGAGGACGACGGTGACGCCGGTTTGAGTCTCATAGATTGCCTGAGAGGAAGATTGCTGGCAGAGAGACAAGCCTCTAGAGCTGCTAAAGAAGATGCAGAGTTCATGGTTCAAAAGGTTTGATCTCTTCCTGGGATTTTATTCATTTCATTTCTCTATGCTAATTTCATTCCTATAAATCGGTACGAAAAAAAGGTTCAGCATTTTTCTTTGCATAACAACTGAAGCGAGTTTTGCCATCTAATGTGGCTTGTAATGGTGCATGTCTATTAATGTGATGCTGTTTCACTCTTTCTTCTGCATTTGATGTTGTGAAGTTGGTAGAGATGGAGAAGAAGCTGAGAGAGGAGATCAGATTGAGGGACAAGGCCGAGAAGAGGCTTAAATTCCTCAGGGGAAAGCTCGAAACAGTGAACATCCCATTTTCACCCACCTCGGAGGAATCACAAGAATCTCGCAGATCACCCAATACTTCAAGCCCCGAAGACGCACAATTAGAAAGAGCCAAGACCCAGATCATAGTGCAAGAAACTTCCCAGAACTCGAAAATCGATTCGTCGAACCGGCCCAAGTCAAGTGATTACTCTCACACCCATGAAGCTAATCTTGATTGGGATACTGGTGATTTTCCAGCTGAAAAATCTGGCGAGCAAATCACTGCCGGTGATGAAGAGTCCAAGATTGATGACCCCAGGCAAGAGTTGTAACCGACACTGTTCTCCAACTCAATGTTCCTAGTAATATCACTTCTGTTTTACTACCGCATGCAATTCCAGTGGCTGAGAAAATTATGAGCATAATTTCTGATTATTACTAGTTATCCTCCAATTGATAAACTATTCAATATGCATGTTGAGTTATACTACTTTATTTCATAGGAAGTGTGATCATATGTAAGATGTATTCAGTGTTTTGCAGTCAACTGAGTTAATTAATGTCTCATGTTTCCTCTTCTAGTTCTTCCATGTTGAAAGCTTCTGTGGCAGAGCCAGAGACACAGAATGAGATTGACAAGGAAGCTCACAGCTCACTGGCACTGGTCTCAATCAAGCTTCCAGCAAAAACTCAGCCCAAAGAGACGAAGATAACAAGGAAAATCACAAGCCAAGCCCTCGATCCTCTGATCCATGCCAGAGAAAAGACTCGGAGTTCAATGGAAAGAAGGCATATGGTTAAAGCTCTGATCTGTTGATACCTAATAGCCGACACTAGTGACATCTTTCTCCTCCTCTGTCCTGCTTTTTTCTTCTTTTTTTGTCCCTTTAAGAGGACCAGTTAGGCAATAAATTGTTCCAAATTGTGCTTGAAACCTGAGATATGTAAAAACTGGAGTCAGTTTTTCCGGGACGCATTGATTCAGGACCTTAGATTTTTTTTGCCTTCTTGCAATCTTGCCGCTCAGTGTATTTATGAAGTTTTATTGAAAGGAGGGAGTCAGTTGCTTCTTGCGACTCAAAACATGAGCCTAGGATGAATCATTGTACTGCCTTCATGTGAATTGACGAGAAAGTTTTAAATGTGAAATTTGTTGGTCAAGCCCGAGAAGGAGCGACAAGACAAGACTGAACCATGCACGGGGTTGCCAACATTAATGGTTATGTTCCCAATTAAACCGGCTTTAGCCATAAAAATGGGGTTAGATGTCTGGGTATGGCTCGGGTGCTCTCGCGAAAGAACATGGTAAGCGTCCAGGGAAGGGCCTGATCACGAAAGCATAAAGGTCGAGTCACGATGCTTTTTACCATTGATTTTTCAGCAAGTGGAGGGGTTCTCAGGGTCACACCCAGAAGAATCGCCGGTGCTCCTTGCCCATGGTTAATTCCGAAAAATTAAACCCTGAATACCAAAACAAATTGCCCTCGAAAAAGATACAAATTTGAGCTCAAATTATGAGAGACTACTGATAGGTGATAGGCACTAGGACTTTGAATCCACAACAATCTTGGAATTGCTTCACAGTTCATATGAAGTTAGAAGCAAAATGCTTTCACAGGTTCACAGCGACAAAATCATCCTTCAGTGTCCCTTAAGACAGTAGCTGTCTAAGACATAACACCACTGGATCTCTGAATCCACGGAAAAACTAGGTACTGCTTCAAAATTCTTGATCTGAACCAGAGCAGCATATATGGAACATTTAAACAAGAATACATCCCATACGCTTCTCAAAAGTCAAAATCGATTAGTTATGAATTCTGCAAGAACCCAAGACACAAGAAAAACACAACTTGCTCTGCTAGTTGGTGTGCTCGCGATGCTGCTCTGTAGCCTAGTGGGCTCAAGCTCCTGCCTTAATAGCCAATTGAAGTATCTGACAACAGATTAGAATTTCCACGCTGAAACTAGTGTCTATTTGTTACTTCGGCTTCGGCCTTGACAAGATGGCTATTGATTCCCACTCCAAACTACAGATTACCTCCTAATTGATGAGAAAAGACAAGTATCAGATGCACAGATTGAACAAAAAAGCTAAAAACTTATTATTCAGGGGAAAGCACTTACGGAGGGGTTTTGCCTGTCAATGTCAAAACTATTAATGGCACAGGGTTCAGCCAAGAGCTCCACTGGTTCTTCGCCTGAGAAGACATCAATAAAAAAGCTACCATTAGTGCACGAGTCTCAATTGCTTTTGATTATTTTACAGTGAAACACCCATTCAATGATTTTTAAGCAAATATTAACAACCTTTCAGCTAGACAAAGACCTACTATCATTTAAGTAAAACTGGGTCAACTGGTTGGATGCAGTCCTCCAGAGCCATAATTTGATAGAAGCATTCCCTTATATTCTGTCTAATGAATTGCACAAGCAAGCATCCTAGCAAGGTCAATCATTTTTATCCTGGATGGACAACTCCTACCTTCTTTAACAACAGCTAGGATCCCATCTTCTGAGCAGATCATGACAGGTAACATTCGTGTGCCAACATTCGAAGGACTTATACTGCGATCATATTGAATCTCCCAAATCTCACTCTCAGACACTGAACTAGTCACTCCTTCACCCATCCCTACTCCAGATAGAATAATTGGCTGTTGTTGCCGCCGCAGATCCCAGGCAAATATGGTTCCAGCTGATCCACCGGCCTTGCATGTAAAGAAGATAAGTGAAACAGCCATAAAAGTGAAGTTGATTATAAGTTGAGCCAAATTAGATGCAAGCCATAAAAATGAGTCATGAGGAAAATTTTATGTGAACCTCCAGTAAAACAATGCCTGCGAGCAGAAACAACTATAACAAGACAAGATATCATAATAACGAAGATACGTCAGATAGTTTTTTGCTTAATTGTTTTTCCCCCAGAGCTCGGTTCTTGGCTGATCTACAAGCAATATGCATCATCTGATTGATAGCAAGGAACATAGAATTGACCTTGTGCCATGCTAACTCTTTTGCCATTTCATCAAACAGACCAGAAACAGCTATATCCTTCTTTCAGCAGCTAAGAACCTTAACATGATTAATGCTACAGAATAGTCTGGATATTATCGAGTGAGACAAGCGGAGGTAGAAGCCAGAGGATGCTATAAGAAAACTGTTGATCCATTTCCTTCCCAAAACAAATCTAATCGTATTCTACACTTGGTCTAGCCATCCATCATATACAGCTGGACACTAGGAGAAGAATCGTAAGCCTCTTTTGTACTTGATGAAAAAGAAATGAAGTAAGGGCCATCCTTGTAATGGAATAAAATATGAATGTGAATCAATGCACAATCCATATACCAGACAAGTGTGCTTTCGAGATGGATGAATATCAATTGAGTGCACTATCCCAGAAGCCTTCTCATGGACGCTGTAAAGTTTCAAGAAAAAGACCTGCCTGTTAGAAACCAGCGCAAAACATTCTAGGGTATCGACAAAAAACAAGCAGCAATTTGCTAGAAATTAATCAATCTTCTACAAATAATCAATGTTCATTTTCCACTTCTTTTCACCAAAGTCCTAACATACTTCTACACACCCAAGAGCACCATTCAATATCTAAGACATAACCTGCATGAGTGGATGACTCGACCCCACTTGGAAAGAAGCTTTCCATCACAAAAGAAGACAACAGCGAAGTACTTCCAGATTTAATTCTAGAATTGTTGCAACACTAATTTCAGTGTAAGTGTCCTTTTGGATATTTAAACAACAACATTTCTGCAAGGATTCAAACCACCAAATCGAGAAAGCCTGAAAGCGAAGGATGAAACGAGCATGGAAGCAACAGAGTCAATTTTCTGATGCTCATTTCAAGCAATTCTGCAACCACGACATGCACAGACCGCGTGGCAGATTCCCTTAACTCAAACACACAGCACATGAATTAGTAAGACACACCAAGACATCTAAGACCAGATTCCACTTTCCTCTTATCTCAAACATTGAACTAACCAATTAGGCCAAAACGCCAGGTAAACAACAACGCCAATTTCAATCCTTTATAAACATAAAGTCCACGAAATCTCTCACCGGTCACACTTGAACTGCGAGACCGGCCCCCCGGGCTTCCTCCGATCCCACCAGTGAAGACTAAACCCATAACCGCCCGTCGCGAACTCGCTCGGCGAAGCCCATCTCGCGGCGGTGTACGAAACCAACCCATTCGCATCAAAAACCCTAGCTTTCTTGAGCTGAGCTTCCCCGAGGCTCACCAAATTCACCCTCCCATCCTCCCCTACGCTCACGCAGTCCACTCCGCCGTCCACCAAGTCCACGCACGAGGCTCCCCCCGAATGCAGCTCCTCCTCCGCCACCGGCTCGATCGACAGGTCCGCCGGATCCACGGCCATGATGTGGAACGACCCCAGGTGGGTCGAAGCCGCGATGACGGGCCTGTGCGCGAAGCTCGTGGATTTGAGCGAAGAAATCCGAGACGATAGCGGGGCGTACGCGGAAGCGAGCGTCGGGGTTTTGGAGGGGCTTATGGAGTGGATTTCGATGGCCGGCGAGCCGGAGTCGGAGTCGAAGGAAGCGATGACGGCGTGGCGGTCCAGGGCGGAGATGGGGGGGAGCCACCGCACGGCGTCGACGTACTTGTACAGAGGGAGCTTGTGGATTTTGGGGGACTCCGGAAGTTGCGCTATCGCCATTTTCTTCGCTCTGTCACAGTGACAGTATGCAGGGGTCGGAGAGGGAATGCAATAAATAGGCTACTCATGCCGCGAAGAATTTGATATTGTTTTGGGCTCTAATAACTTGCGCATAGGCACCTAGGTCTCGAGCCAGCTCTCGATGAACCCATATTTGGGCACTAGCTCTTGGGCCACCCTCGATGAACTTGGGCATAATCTTTGTGGACCTAGGCCCGGGTGTTCGGGATACGAGCTCGAGTATCGAGATCCCGCGCTTCGCCTTTGTGGACTCGGGCACAACCTTTATGGACTTGGGCCCAGATGTTAGTGGTCCAAGCTCAAGTACTGGGATCCCTTGCTTGACCTTTGTAGACTCGAGACCATGTGTCGGGTCATCCAATGTCGGGGCACCGGGGCTTCGAGGCCAGCCTCAGGGTGCAAGCGTCGGGGGCCAAGCACAAGCACCGGGGTTCCAGGCTCAGCATTAATGGACCTAGGCGCGGGCACTGGGGATCTGGGCACCAGGGTTATGGCTCGAAAACAATGGACCGGGCCCTGGGTCCTAGCGCCGGAGACCTGGAGTGCCCGTGTCCGAGCGTAAAATTTTGGATCCAAGCATTGCTACCTAGTTATATTTTGGACAATGATTTCCAATTTTTTTAAAGATGAATCATTTTCTTGAATTTAAGCATAGGTTTTTGTTAATTCATTTTCCTAAGCGAAACAAACGCCATAAAATGTTTTCAGCGAAACAAACATAGGAAAAAACCACCATCAATCACAAACTATGCTCACTATGATACATTTACTCCAAACCTTTTTTTGTGAAATAAAAAATCATAAAGTATGTTCATTATGACACATTTATCCTAATTTTTTTCTGTGACATAGCAAACTCCAAACTTATAATTATGTGACATATTTACCTTCCATCAAAGTTCGGTCAGATGATTCAGCCAAAACAATTTCGTTTTTAGTTCATTTAAGCCATGTGAACATCATGTTATGTCACCCACCGGTGGGTGGCTGCATTGGTTTGGCTCCTCTTCCTCATCGCAGAGGTGAGGGGTTCAAATCTCCGGTCGCTAGCATCTTAAGTGGGGGGCCCTGGTGGTGGGGTCCTAGGCTAGCTCCCCCCGAGGTATAGTCGCTGCCGGTTCTATCCGGCTGTCGGCCGGTGGGGCCATACGGGCGGATCCTCGGTCATCAAAAAAAAAAAACATCATGTTATGTCAATAATGGATGCCAAACTTTTAACATTGCTCATTGGCAAAGTTTTGACGAAGGGTAAATGTATCGCACGAATATAAATTTGGGACTTTTAGTGTTACAAGAAAAAAGTTTAGGCTAAATGTATCATAGTAATCTTAAAGAAACTAGTAGCAATCTTTACACACGTAGGTAGGTTTAAGACTAGAGTGAAAGTTTGAAAAAAAAAATAGAAAAAAATTCGGATCAGAATTTTGGACCTAGGATTTGAGATTTTTTAGGAAATCAGGCCAAACTCGAAATATTTATGGCTTATTAACATCGTTTAATTTTCACTTTCGTAATGGTTGGGAAAAAACGACAAATGGTTCGAGAACTTTCATATATGCTATATCTATAAGATCGATTAAATTCCAATTATCGAACGAGGGTATGTGTGTATAATTTTGAAATCTAGATGTGTTTATTATAATTTAATTTGATAATTTTTTTCCATATTGCAGATGAATTTATGCTATTGATGTGGGCTATAATATATTGGCTCCATATCAAGGTGAACATACCATTTAAACGATTTTTAAAGTAGAGGTCATTGAAGAAACAAGTATGACTCGTTCAATCACACCCAAAGTGATGGAAAGTTGCTTGAGGGTATCGCAGGTAAGATTTCTGATTTTTAAGAATGCTGCCTGATCATTCACTAAGAACGCAACCTGTTATCCCTCTTTTTTTTTTGGTCATGAACCTGTTATCCCTTTACCATGTTATGCTCTTCGTAACTTTATTCGAATGAAAGCACGTCTAGATGTCTTGTTTGTTGAGTACTTGCAAGAAAATATAAGAAATTGATAGGACACAATCAGGTCGAATGCTGGACAAAGATGCACAATCTGAAGGTTGGTGACAGCAGCAATAGAGGGGAGCAGTGGGAGCTGCAGCTGGACTAGGATTTCATATGATTTGAGGATGTTCAGTGGACGGGTACTTTAGAACTATAATAGACGTAATTTAAAAAGTGAAAAGTCAATTTTGCAAATAAAATTGGAATATTAACATAGGGTGCAATTCAACAACTATCTTGACTAGTTATGATGCAAACTTATGATTTTAGATATAGAGGATGCAAAGTAAAATCGAGGCACAAAATAGAGAGGGTTTTTTTCGCTCTCTCTGATTTAATTCTCCGAATCACCTACTTTAAGTGGGGAAAATTATCGAAAAAGTTCTAAACCTATTGCACTTTTGCCAATTCAGTCTTAAACCTTTTAAGTTTGCCAATTCAATCCTAAACCTCTTCATTTCTTGCCAATTGAGTCCATTGGCCGGCTGGCGCTGACGTGGCCGCCGGTCGTCCGGCCAACGCTGACATGGCAATTTTTAAATATTTTTTTTGAATTTTTTAAATATTTAAATATTTTTTTCTGCCTTTTCCCTCTGGCCGGTACGGCGACCGGTGACCGGCAACCGGCCAGAGGCGTGGGCCGGCGAGGTTGACCTCGCCGACCTCTAGTGAAGCTCGCCCCCGCCAGCCACTGGCGAGGATCGACCGGCCATGGCAAGGCCGACCTCGTCGGATCTGGGTGAGGTCGAGCCTCGCCCAGCCATGGCGAGGCCTGCCTCGCAGCGGCAAGCAAGGCTCGCCCTCGCCAGTGGCCAGCGGGGGCGAGCTTCGCCAGAGGCTGGCGAGGTCGACCTTGCCGGCCCGCGCCTCTGGCTGGTCGCTGATCGCCGGTCGCCGGACCGGCTAGAGGGAAAAGACAGAAAAAAAAAATTCAAAAATTCAAAAAAAATATTTAAAAATTGCCACGTCAACGGCTGCCGGCCAAATGGACTCAATTGGCAAGAAGTTAAAAGGTTTAGGATTGAATTGGCAAAAGTACAATAAGTTTATGACTTTTTTAACAATTTTCCCACTTTAAGTGGGTAGGTATGACATGATCGAGGTGTTCCTGCCGCATGCGTGATGAGAGCCTCGATGGAAGGGCTTGATCGCGAAAATGAAAGAAGTTGTCTATAGAAGCTTACCTTGATTGTCAACACCCCATTGGGCCCCATGGCCCTCGAGGGATTGATCCCGGGTCGAGCTGCATCAAATCTGACTTCATTTTACCATTAACTCCTATTCAAAGTGGCGTACCACATAAACACTAAGAAATTTCCAATGAGTAGTCCTCAACTTCAGATCATTTGCAGCACATTTAAGTGACAACTTCACGCTGCATTATAGATGAGCGAACAACTTTCTAGCTTCAGATCATTTGCAGTATATTTAAGTAACTCGTAAATCCCCAGTCACTCTGCATCCTCTGCATCCGCTATTTTATGTGCCGTAGCCCTCAACTTCAGACCATTTGCAGCGTATTTGGGTTAATTGACCAAGCTGATTGCTGCTTTCTCTTTTGCTTTCTCTGTAAAGAAGAGTTAAAAAGTCATTTAGATTAGCTTCAAGAATGCAATCGCTTGTATATCGGCACGAGTAAATTTTTTCCCATGCATGAAGGAGCAGACACTAACAGATGCCTCTTCTGATCTTTTCCATGACAAAGTTGGACCATTCCAGACTTGAAAAGGATGCAAATAGTTCACCCAATCTATCATCTTTTCAGGGATGCTCCATAAGTTCCTCTTAAGAAGAGATTTCTCCTTGACAACACAGAGCATTTTTCCTGTATGTGATCCCCAAAAGTGATCGTTCCTTATACCAGAAAATTATGCATAAGCCACATGCTATGCTATACTGCTGCACATGATAATTCCTCCTCATGAACCTCAGGCACATAACCGTGATTCCTCATATGATCCATCAAACAATTGAGGACACCAAGAATCTGGGTAACTCGGTCATTGCACCAGTCCTCTGCTCTGAATCTGTGAACTACATTACTGATCTCAATCCAACTATATCCAGGACAAGTCTTAAGGCATCTATCCTTCATCAATTTCCGCACTTGTGCTGCTTGATCCCAGAGACCAATACTGGCGTAAAGATTTGCCAATTGAACATGTGTAGCTGCACATCCTGGTTCCTGCAACAACCTACTTTCTGCAGCCTGAATACCAAACCAAACGCTCCCATGAAGACGGCAGGAAGAAAGTAATGAGCCCCATATGACCGCATTGGGCTGAACAGGCATTCTTTTTATAAAATTACGAGCCTCTTCCAGCTTACCACTGCGACCAAGGAGATCCACAACACATGCATAATGGTCTAGTTCCGGGATCAACCCATGATCAACCATTGAGTCAAAGTAAAGCTGCCCTTGTTCGACAAGACCAGCATGACGACATGAAGACAGAACCCCAAGGAAAGTAATAGCACCTGGCTTGACTTTTTGCAGCATCATCTCCTCGAAAAGATCAATTGCTTCATGCGCAAGCCCGTATTGAGCATACCCAGCAATCATCGAGTTCCACGACACGAGATCTCTCTTGGGCAGCTCGTGAAATACACACAATGCATCATCCATGCACCCACACTTGCAGTACATGGAAATAAGAGAATTGGCAACATGAATGTACGAAGCAAAACCCATTTGGATCGCCTGGCAATGGGCACTCTTGCCCTGTCCAAGAGCTCCACTACCTGTGCAAGCACTCAAAAGACTCGTAAACGTGAAATCATTGGGCTTTGAAGCTGAATACCTCATCGAATGATACAGCTCCAAGCACTCATCAACCTGCCACTCTTGTGCAAAGCCAGCTATAATGGCAGTCCAAGACACTACATTCTTCACAGACATTTCTTCAAACACCTTATAAGCATTCCCCAGCTCGCCGCACCTACCATACAAGGTTATCAGAGAACTCCCCACGTAAACATTGGCAAGAAACCCAGTTCTCATCGCCAAGCAATGGAATTGAACGCCACCTTCAAGATCACGCGCGGACGCACATGAACTCAAGGCATGTGACAACCCAACCGCGCTATCTCCAACCCTTTCCTCCCCGAAAACGGAACCTTTCTTGTCAGATACAGCGGATTCAAGCATTTTGTCGAACACGTTACGCACGGCAGCACCGGATGAACCCAAAGGAGTGAAACCATTAGCGAGCTTCTGGGCATTTGAACTCGTGTCCAAGAACTCCTCGATGAGTCGGAGATGGCTCTGGCGACTGGAGTTCCCACTGGTTTTGGGAGCTACAAGGCTCAGGATTCCGAGGGCTTTGTCCAGTCTCCTGCTTCGCGATGGATGATGCTGCGTCGGTTTGCGGGAGGAGAAGGGCCTGAACTGGAACTGTGTCGCCGTTAAGAGATGGTCGATTTTGCGACAAGCTATCTTCTTGCGCAAAACATAGTTCATTACTCTGCAGAGCGCCGAGGAGGAATCTCAGTTTTCTTTCGGTGTCTATCTATGCATGACGAGAAATATTTTCCACCGGTGAATCCATGCGAACTGCACCGTATGCTTGATGCGAGTGTTCCACTCGTTAAATAGCATCTTAAACTTGCTTGCCAAGCAAAAATAATATATCATCTTAAACTTGCTTAACACCCCCCCAAAAAGAAATTAGCCATCTTAAAGCATGAAAAAATGCACAAAAGTCTTAAATCTTGTGTGCTGAATGTAATCAAATTTTAAATCTTTCAATTGATTTAATCAAGTCGTAAATTTCTTTTCTAAAAGTGCAACAAAGTCTTTTAGATATCCAAAGTTTCTTACGTGACACTTAAATATTGCAATTCTTGAATCATTTATCAAGCAATCAAACTTAAAAAACCTATATAATTTCAATGAAGTGATATATTATGCAATATTATTTTGAAAGCTCGGACTTTTCATATTTATAGATTGTGCGGAATCAATTGCACGATGCTGAAGCTTATCCCCTAGTCACATAGCTCATTTTCACATTGTTTGTCTAAACTGGTCTATCCATCTCCTCCATTTTTCATCAGGTATGAGAGAGTTCAGGCGATTAATCTTCTTTCGTTTCATTATGGTATTCGATTTTCAGTAGAAATAGAGGAAATGAAGTACATTTATTCATTTTTAGCTTTAACTTACCTATTAATAGCAACATCTATCAAATTATGCAAAATCCTCTTTGGGATCTTCCACCTATAGGCCTTTTCCCCCTGCTATTAAGAGATGAAATCGTTGGTTCTTTGGTTTTAAGAGGCAGGTCGTAGCGTAAACATTAGGGCTCGAGCCCTCCTTATCGAAAAGTTATAAATATGAATTTGTTTCGCTTAAAATAAATAATTTTAAAAAATATATTTTAAAAATAATCAATTATATTTACTAATTAATTAATAAAAAATATTTTTTTTTCGACAATAATTTATATTTAAATATTTTCGTATTCAATAAAAATATTTTTCGGTCATTCATTTTTGCAAACAATACAAACAATCATTTTTAAGAAAATATTCTTCAAATCATTCATTTTTCAAATAAGAAATCAATATAAAAGTTACGGTCAACAAATCAACTGATATACCAAGGCAAAGTTTGGAAACAATAAAAACTGAAGTACCAATGCATCAAATTTACCAAAGGCCGGAGGATAAGTACCATCACGCATCGTATACATTGTCTACTATGTTTTTGAGATTTTCTGATTGGAAAAATTTCCAGAACAATCTCAACTTTTCGTTCCCATATCAATTTGCATCCTCGATTTTGAAAATCTACAATTTGCATAAACATACAAAAATCCACAAGCTAAAAAACCTAATCTAACACTCAAAACACATTCACACCCACATGTGAGAATGGAACTTGAAATGGGTAAAGTCGGAACGGAAATAACAAATCCGTAAATAGGACCAAGTGTTAGATACAACTTGAAATTGAATGACAAAAGTAAGAACATAAATTGTAGGTTTGTAAAACCGAGGGAGCAAATTGATGTGTGAACCCAAATGTGAGGATGGTTTATGAAATTTTCCATATGTTATTCGACCAAATATGAGAGAGAGAGAGAGAGAGAGAGAGAGAGACAGAGAGAGAGAGAACTAGCTACTTAGCTATGTTTCCATCAGAACTCTAACAAAATGCACATTAGTTTCCATCCCACAATACATCTAAAATTAAAAGTTCAGTACCGCTAGCTATACACGACAATGATCTTTTTCAAGTTATACACCACAAGACACACTGCCCCAAAGTAAAACCTACATGGCGAAACCGAAACCGAGCGCCATCCTATTGCCCAAATCTTACCTGGCTGAATCTGCAAATTACCCATCAAGACCTGCAGTATCAACAAAATCCTCCCAACTGCCAACTTATCTGAATTAACCATTATGAAATGTCACAAAATCAGGAAACATGAAAAACCTCGTAAACGACTGAGACCAAAGGACAAAAGTCACTTGTCGGCTCTGCCTTCAGCTTATTCCACTCACGCTGGATGTGCCTCTCATTATCCAATGACAGCAGATCAGGACTTCCAACAAATATAGATGAACAAGCTTCGCCAAAAAATAAAATTGAGTGGACATGCATCTTGAGATTTTCATGACAATAATGCACAAGCACGTTTCGATTATGCCCCGAGACCTCAAGATTGAAAAAATGTTCTAGACAGCATCTAAGTATGAAATGTATCATTCACAAAGCACCATAAATGAGCGTCTGCATCTTCGGGTGAAAAAACAAAGCTATAGCTAGTGCAATCCAATTAGCTAGGAAAGGTGAACCATGAACCAAATCTCATCAGCTGCTTGCATCATGATCTAAAGATTGGAGCATCTCCAAATGATCAAGGCTATGCAAACATGAGCATGAGAATGAAAACACTGAAAATCCAAAAGACACTGAATCCAGACCCATTATCTAATTGAACTTTTAAGGACTTTTACATGCTTCGAGGCAGCCACGAATGCCTTAACTATCACCACTGGCTTTAGCAAATGTGCATTACTTCTAAGAGTGCCAAAAAGTGCCTCAATACAGGAGAAAAATGGCAATTCCATGAGATAAAAGAAATTAGTCGACACTGAAGCTTCACACTTAATGCCATACTAAGCTTGGATATGAGAGGCTACCCATCCGTGTACCACTTTGTGAGTAGAAGAAGCTGGTCTTTAGATTTTGAAAGAAAGCATTTATAACAGCATATTTTTCACTGGTGCCAGTCTATAGAAAAACCTTCAAGACGAAAGTTAATGTGCATGTAAATGGGAATTTCTGATATTTTAAGAATGGGCGATAAGTTGACACTGAGGGGGAGCTTTGTGATTCCACTGGCCTCAATGGGTAAGTGGGTAAAACGATTGCGACTTAAGAAAAAAAAGGAACTTCCTTTCACCCTGCAGAAACCTTGCTATGCCGCTGCACTATAGCCGTTTTGAGGATAAGGGAATATTGGATCTTGAATTTGTTAGAAAAACTGGGCGCCACTTCAAATGTCAGGTGCAACTAAGTTTGCAAACTCTACACCTGGCAAATTGAAAAAAAAAAAGAAATAATAATTATCATAGCTCGCTTTTTTAAAGAAAAAAAGGGATGAGAATGAGAGAAGCATGTTCAGTGAAGAATAAGGACGTATGATGGGCAATCCGACGAAAACAATAAATACTGCATGAACTGGCTGGCAACAAAAGGAAATGTGGGTAAAAAACTACTCACAAAAAAGGAAAAGTATACACAAAAAGGGTTGCTGCTGTCGTCTTTCCTCATGCTCCTCCAGTGGCCTTGCCTGCAATCACTGCCTTGCCATTCACTTGGGACAGGGAACTTGATGGAAGATTAGAGAACCTAGAGAACAGCAGAAAGGTATGTCAAATCTCGGCCCCATCCGGTACTTACACATCTTAGCTCTTAATCAATTGGTGTCTTTCATTACGATTCACTTATTCATTTTAGTTTTTTTTTATTGCCAAAAGAGGAACAAGATGAAAACCTGATTGCTCTTGCTTTCCTCTTATCTTCTTCATGAGCATCAGTTTTGGAACCCGACCCAAATTTAGCAAGCCGAGCTTTCTTTTTTGCCTCCTCATCCAAGATCAGTGATGAAACCGAAGTACCAAACCTGAGAAACAGGGTAAGATATGAAGATCAAACAGTGAAATCACCAAGTGAAGCAGCCAGAGTCAAACAGACAATAGCAAGTGAAGAAAGCAAACCTCTCTGCTCTAGCTTTTCTCTTCAGCACCTCTGATTCACCACGAGCTTCTGACTTGTTCAAAACAGATCCAGTGCCAAACCTAGAGTGAGATCATCCCAGATTTAGCACGCTAATTGCAAAATAACAAAGAGAAAAGAAAAGAATGAGAGTTACGAGACAATAATGGGCTGGAAAGCCACCTTACATTCCAACTCAAAAGACTAAACCTAATTTTCTAGCGCACTACACAACTTCCATATGAAATGACGTGCTGTTGTGAGTTTTGAATCATCCCGAAAAAGGCACCATAAAGTTCATGTTGTCATAATCAATCTGAAATTTTCCTAACAATGTGCCAACGATAGACATGCCTATGGAGACTTAACTTTACTTCATGACAAAGCTAAGGACTTAAAAATTCACAAAAGACAACATGTCAGTTCTGGGTCCTGCATCTTAAAGGTTCATCTCAATTCTACGAGTTGACAAAGAAAGATATGAAACTACCAATAACTAATCAAGAAGCCAACAAGTTACATAAGAAGGGTGACCAAATTACACAGCCCAGAAATATGAAAAGGTTTGCTGATGAAACAAATCCATTCGAGCAATGAAGCCACGGTGACCATTGCTTCCATCCCTAAGAAACAACTACCATGTGACTTCCGTTTCGCAAAATGAGCAACTAACCACCTTCAACTTCTAGCAAAAAAAAAACTACCCACCTTCAACATCGTGCCTTTTCCCAAAGAAAAAGGGCAAATCCATACTCTAATAATTGGACATTTCTTGACCCGCCTTCAGATATTAATGCCTAAGCAGCTCTCACTTTCTTACTCTCGCCCGGAACAAAGGGTAAAAGAAATCGCATCGACAAATGAAGAGCAACGCCACGCCCTACCTCTCCGCACGAGTATACCTCTTCTCTTCCTCGGACAGCTGAACCGGCATCCCGAACCGCTCGGCGCGTCGGATCCTCCGGTAGATGTCGTTCACGGGACCGGTGCCGCTCGAGACGACCGTCGCGGTCGTGCCCTTCGCCGCTCCTCCTCCTTCCTCGCCTCCCCCGCGCGGTTCCCCTGAATCCCGATCGGCCGCCGAGGGAGAGGCCCGCCGGCGGTCCTCCGAGGTCGGGGACGGGTCGACGGGGCCTAGGGTTCGCGCGGGGCTCTCCGGCTCTTCTCCGTCGGAGGGGATTTTCTCGTTGAGGTTGATGATTGGCTTGGTCGCCATTTTCGAGGGATCTTGGAGGAGATGGCTTCGGACGATCGAGCTTCGTCTCGGAGGAGAAACCCGAAACACGAGCGAGGAAACTAGCGGTGGAGGACGACCTTCTCCGTTTGCCCGGGGACCCTCCCTTTTAAACGACACGTCGTGATCATGATCGAGATCGTGATCGTGATCGTGGTCGAGTGATCTCCACCGTCGGAATTGCACGATTTATCGTGGTGGGTCGAGGCTCAGCGAAGAAATTCTCTTTCCGTCCGGAGAAGAAAAGGAACAAAATAGAACCGCTCGCTATCTGTGCAAAGGGGAGTTGCTCAATGATTATTTTCGCTTATAAGAAAACAAAACGAGGACAGGAAGGTGCGTTCGTTTCGCAATAAACAAGCGATTTGAAAAATACATTTTTTTAAAAATAATTATTTATATCGTTTAGAAAAATTAATCATCGAAAAATATTTTCACCATCAATAACAATTTATGTCTAACTATTTTCGTGAGCGATGAAAAAATTTTCCATTTATTTATTTTTGTAAACGATTTTTTTTCGGAAAATATTTTCTAAATTACTCATTTTTCGTAAACGAGTGCTTATTATACAATTCAAATAGCTCTATTTGATTTTTTTTTGCTTAATTAAAATCTCGTGGCTCGAACATTTTGATATTTTTCAAATTTAAAAACACTTGAATTTTCATTAAAATAAAAATTATATTTTTAAAATTATGTCCTTTTTTTCCCTTTTTTAAATAAAATTTTATTTGTGGATTTTGATAACCATCTAAAATAATCATATGAATGATCTATATTTTGTCAAAGCAAAAAGGAAATAATTGAAAACGTGACGAAAGTTGATCCTCATGTGATAAGGCAAAGCCTTTTCAAACTTTAATCTATAGATAAGCAAGACCTTGCAATCAACTATTGCATATGTAGCAAAAGTCAATTATATACTTCTTTTAAATTATGGATCAATCGCGTGATAGAAATAAATATTTTAAATTATCAAAATCAATTATGTTTCGAAATGTCTGCATCTGTATCTATTGGTATTATAGGAAAAATAGACTCTGATACGCAGAATATATGTTATACAATAAAGAGAGACAATCTATAAATATATATATGTATATCATTATAAAAAGAAAAATTGACTTCGTCCCTTGCAATGTATTATATAGAAGAATAAACCGACGCAAACTAAAGCAATATATCAAAACATAAAGAATAACAATAACTATTGGACCATAATAATATGCACATTTCGATATGCAATGGAGAAAATATACTCGTAATTACTAGCATGAATCAACACTATAACATAAAGAATTAAATTACTTTGATTTCTTCTAAAACAGCATGTAGCAAAACTCAAGATCGGAGTAGATGCTACTAACTAAGTGATATGATGAGCGCTTAAAAGAAATCAAAGTTATTGTTATTCAATCGTGTCAAGTCAAAAAAAAAAAAAGGCCCACGATCAATTCAATTTTAGTAGAACACAATATATACGATTGTCGACAATCATATAACGATTTTGTCTATAAAAAATAAAAAAGAACCCTCCATATTTAATCATCTATCTGAATGATTTATATTGTCTCAGTACAGTAATTCTTCTATTTATTAAATTTCATGATTAATGTCGCGGTTATAATTCTACAAAAGACTATATTTTTCCTCGAGGTTGAATTTACTAATTGTATGGAAGGATTATTAATAAATATAAAATTTCGATAAACTTTAAAATATGAACGGTCGTCCTCGTGCTGACCACTGGACCCTGCGAGGTGCGCCTCGGAACCCATAACCTGCACTGCACTGCACAGCGTCATCTCCCGTCGCTCTTCTCTGCCAAAATTCTATGGATAAGGAGGGTCTCCTAGTCTTCTTCACCTTCTCCCCATTGATGCTCTGACGTCGAACTCCGACCGAAAGCCATGGGACTTGCTTCGGCCATTCAGAGCTGCGCGCGAAGCCCTCGTCTCTTCTCCCCATCGCCGCGCGGGACTTCACGGCCGTTGCCGTCGCCGTCGCTTCGGCTTTCGCCTCGGTCCGCCTGCGCTCGCGTTCCCTCTCTCATCGCAGGTCTCTCCTTCGTCGCTACCCGCCCCCGGCGTTAGCTTTCTTTGACTGGTCTGAATTGGATGTAAATTCGACGTTTTCTTGGTTGTGCAGATAATCGAACCCGCCACGGCCACGGCCACTGCGCTCCCGTCTCTTGCTCGAGAAAGACCGAGCAGGAGGACGATCTATCCACCTCTGGTGAGGTTTTGGCGTCGTGGCACTGGCACCTAGTTTCACTCCTAAATAGAAATGGCGTTGAACTGTCCGACCTGGGAATTTGACCGGCAGTACCGACTGCTAAGCTCGTATTGTGAATTGGGATGTGTTGCGTGTTAGATTATGGAAGAATTGCGCAGCAGCACCCCAAGTTCCCCTTGGATACCCACTTCTAAAATGGTTATTACCCGAGTATTTGTTGGGGCTTCGCCTACATGGAACAGAGCAGGTTGCTACAGAGTGGCTGCAGAAATGGGCCCTTTCAATATATGTTTGATTACCTCTACAGTACTTACTCCTTGCACGGGAGGCATTTCAAGACCATATGATACTAGTAGATGTTAATTTGTTCTGAAAGGAACTTGGCTGGATTCTTCTAGCAAAGCTGATATGCTCAATGTCCCGGCACCAAGTCATGCATTTGTAGTCAGTTTAATAAGCTTTTATTCCTAATTAGCAATTTCCCTTTGTCGAGCGATGCAGGAGATGGAAAAAAGAGCAAGTTGTACGATGACATAAATGATGTCGATCAGCGTCAATTGCCACAGAAAAGGGATCAGGAGAAGGAAAACTATGTCTCGTCTATTAGAACTGTTGCTCTATGTGTGAGTTTAATTCGCTTTCGTTTCATAGTCAGTTTACGCTTCTGCAGATTCTTTGGTCAATTCATGATATGCATTCTACAGGTAAGCACTGCAGTGGCTTTTGGGGTTGGTCTAGGCTTGAAGGATGGTGTCGGCAAGGCATATGAGTTTTTTGCTGGGTATGCGCAAGTATACATTTGACAAGACTAGTTCTTTGTAGCCTGTCCAAAGTGTGACCGATTTAGGGCATTGCACATATTTTAGTGCTCATAAAAAGTAAATCCACAGGTACCCCATTACCATCTAGAACAAATACTGTGTCAAAGCACGAGCGATTTCCTTTTTATTGTTGATTACTTAAGAACTTAGGCTTCTTAGCATTTTCTCTTTTTTTCTCAATTTTGTTATTCCTTGTTTCTTCACTACACTTCCACAGGCATCATGGTTTTTCGTCTTGCTTTGAAGACTTATTGTTTGGATGACATTGGCGTACTTCTGAATTAATGACACCAAGATTGAAGAGACTTAGACTTCATTTTGATTTCGAAATGTTGGTCTGCTGTTACGCGTAGTTGACTCTGTAAATCTGTTGTATCCATATGTCGCTCCAAGTATCTTCACAAATCACAGTCTAAGTACACATTCCACTGGTTGAACTAATTTTTTCTAAATTTCTGAATTTTCTCCACCTTGTGACATGGACATACTGCTTTCAGGTACATATTGGAGCAGAGTTTGTCTGTAGACAATCTGTTTGTCTTTGTTCTTGTTTTCCAGTACTTCAAAGTGCCAATCATGTATCAGGTGCTTTATTAACCTCTTACCTATTTGCATTCTTGTTTAACAGATGATTTAAGTGTTTGTATTACGTTTCACTGTTGTTCGTTACCCCGATCATCTCATCATTTGAGCTGCACTAATGAAAGCAGAACAGGGTACTTTCTTACGGCATTGCTGGGGCGATATTTTTTCGTCTGACATTAATAATACTTGGGTCAGCCACCTTACAGGTAAATATGTATTGGTGCAATACTTGGGTCCGCACGTGACTTTTATTAGTCAACAAGATTCTTATTGGGATGATTATTGATACTCTACAATGTTGTTCCAGAGGTTTGAGGGAGTAAACCTACTTCTGGCCGCAATACTTCTGTACTCGTCATTTAAGGTACCTTGTTCATCTTGAAAAATCCTGCAATATTATTATGACATGTCTATGTCACTTTTCTGTCACAGCTGATGATGATCCGTATAAGTTTTTTATCTGAACAAGAAAGAGCACAACTCACAGTTATGAAATCTTTAGGTTCTTGTCAAGGCTGAACGAGAGCTCAGCTATTTTTCTTATGGGTTAGGATTAAGCAAGAGAACCAATTCTGGATGTTGTTTGCAAAAAATATGTGCAGAACCTTGGTGACAACTACAATCTTTCTCATGAAAAACAGCAATAAACGTCTCATTTCTTTTAATCTGTTAATAAAGCAATGATTTTATTTTCTGTTTTTTTTTGCTGTAAAGTCTCCTTCACCTGATCTGGCGCTATTATATAATTCCTTTCACACTTATCTTCTAGTGCATTCTTCCTTACAATTGTTCGGCCTCAGTTCTCTAACCAATAGAAATTTCTCTCTTCCATGATAGTTGTTCACCAGTGAAGAAGATGACAGCGATCTATCTGACAACTTTATTGTGAAGACATGCCAGAAATTTATTCCAGTCACAAGTATTGTTTTGCCTGTCAGATATTTTCCCCTTAGTCTTACTCCTTGTAGTTGAGTTTGTTGCTATTCTGGACTTGAGCTTGCCACTAGTGTATCAGTGGTTTGGTTTTTCTTTTTTTTTTTTGAACTGAGTGAAGGCCTTCTCCACATTGTTTGGTTCTACATATTGATTTATGAGTATAATTGGCCTTGTCCTTAAACTTCATCTACAAGGAATGTCAACATAGCATTTTATCCATTTTGCTTGTTCTAGCTTTATCTATGAATTAATGACCGACTTATAGTCTAATACACTTGCTACCTAATAAAAATTTTCCCCTCTGCAAAAGCTTCTTTTGTCAATTCATATTTGCTTTATCTTTTTGTTTTTTTTTTCTTTTTTGTTGGGGGTGGGGTTGATGACAAAAATAATGGTATAGCAAGAGTAAAGCTATTAAATGTTTTTATGGGTAAAGTCATGTTTTACTCCTTTATCTTTTTTTTATCCTCTTTCTTTGTTTTCTTTTGCAATTAAATCTTCTAGTACTACTTATTCGTGCAATTAAGTCTTTCCTTCCATGTTCATCTACATGCAATCGCTGACATGTCCAGATTGTCATGTGAAGTTGAGGCACCATATTAGCAAAGCACAGAACAATAGAAAGAATAAAAAGTAGAAAAAAAATATCTTGAGAGAGGGATTGGGTTAGGGTCCTCGACCCTCTATTGGCTTTCCATTGACCCTTGCCTGAGTCTTTCAGCGAGGGTCAATGACTCTTGCTGCTAACTGGGGGACAGTTAGTTTGCCGCCAGCCCCTCTATTGGGGTTCGTTTTTTTCTTTTAAACATTATTTTCTGTTTTCTGATCTCCACATGGAAATCTTTTGATATGTTTGTCAGTAATCTCATATCCAAATTTTGATAGTGTTATTAGTGGCTAGTTACTGAACAATTTAATTGCACACATATAAAGTTAGAGACTCAATTAGCAATAAATTGAAGGAGTAAGATTGGACCTAACCATTGGTGTTTTGTCATGAATGTTGACCAAATAGCTGATAGACCACACTAACCCAACCCATAGATATGAAAGTATAGGTTAGTGAAGTTTTACTTTTTAAAGTCTAGACAAGTTTCCATTGAAGGTTCTTTTTTTCACTTGGGAAGCTGCTTGGGGATGATCTTACTTTGCATAATCTTCAGAAGAGAGGAAATAATACTGGCTATTAGGTGTTTTCTGTGCAAGACTGACGAAGAGAGTGAATTGATTACTTTTTCATTGTAGCTAGACCAGAAAGATTGGCACCACAGTTCTTGAAATTTTAGGAGTAAATTCAGTGACCCCAGGCTCAGTGCGACCCGAACTTTGGGCTTGGGGAGGGACTATCAGTTTGTGCATTGGAAAGAAACATATTACTGAGATGATTCCTCTCCTTGTTTTTTGGTTAATTTTGGAGAGAGGAACAAAAGGGCATTTCAAGGAGTTGAATCCTCTTGGGATTCTTGTAGCGATAATTGGTTTTACTCTACTTTTGGTATGGCGGGAGAGTTCAATTTGTTACATCGAGTTTGTTGAAAATGTTAGAAATTCTCTCGTGTATAATGTTGTATATGTGTAGCTTCAACCTGAACCATTTTGTATAGGGCTGGTACACCTTTGGTACCTTCTCAGTGGACCTTCTTAATGAAATCTTATTTATCATTAAGAAAAGTCTCACTTTTTTAACTTTAGGGATGAAATGTAACAGCCCTTATAGGTCAGGGATGATACTGCATTTTTGCTAAATTTTTGTATGTTAGTGTATATGAAGTCTCTCTTTTCCTTTTGGCAATAGATCATGATCCACAGACTGTTTAGTTTGTTAGTCTCTAATGAAGGATTGTCAATGCATTTCTCTATCTGAAGAAGAAATTTCTATAAAAATCAACAGTCATTGTAACCCTGCAAGTTTTGCACAATAAAGTAGTAGATGCAATTCTGCATAAGACTATTTTAAGTCTTAAAAGAACGTATATTTGGAGATTTTTGGTGAACCATTTTAAGCTAGTTTTAGTTTTGTTCCTTTGATGGATTATTTTGCTATATCCGCTTGAAGAGGAGCTTAAATGTTTCGTTTTCTCTTGTAGGTAGCTATGATGGTGACCGATTTATAACAAATCAGAATGGTTTGTGGAAAGTAAGTCTTCATAACATCCGCAATTAGTTGTGCTAGCTTCTAGTTGTTTGTTGGCATCCCGTGGTAACTATGTCAGTATTTGCTGTGGAACATTCCATTCTTGAACCGTGTGGGATGCATAAGCATGTTTTTAAAAAGTATATCTCTATGGCATCTCTAAAAACTTCATAGATGTTTCACAGTGTTTCTTAATCTGGATTCTATTATTAACAGGCATCACACATTTTGGGCAGGCCACTCCTTTGCTTCTCACAGTAGCGGTCATTGAGCTCAGTGACATAGCATTTGCAGTATGTTTCCTTCTCTGTTCCTTTTAATAGACATGCATGATGCATATTTTAGCATGCCTATATCCTCAAACTATGCATATGCATGCAGCTGGCAGTGCAGATTGTATGCACACTTGCATGCATGAGTTTTACCACTAAATTTTGTGTGGAAGCGTTGATGGATTTAACTCTCTTTTAGGTTGACTCAATACCAGCAGTTTTTGGTGTTACACGGGATCCTTTCGTTGTGTTCACATCTAATCTGTTTGCGATATTAGGTAATTCTAACAGTATGGACTTTTTGTTGATTTTCCATAAATGCTTATTGTTTTATGCAAACTGCTCTTGCTTGAGCAGTGAAATTTGTGTTCTAACCAGCATGTAGAGATAAAACCTCATATATTCAGTCTTTTTCTAGATTTGTTGAATGAGATGACTGTGATGACTAAAAGCGTTTACTCAAGCTTAATATTAGCTCCAATAGGTAGCAGGTTTGCTTCTAAGCAAGGATATCACAATAAGCAGTTTGATGTATATGTACGTGGAAAAATATGCTTAAAGTTTTCTCTGCTGCTGACTGGATGAGAAAGGAGGATAACACAGTGCATTGTTCTTTGAATGAACTCCTATATGGAATTTTATGGCTAAAAGAATAATTTATGTTTTTGTCAATTGTAGGTTTAAGGTCACTTTACAGACTCATTTCTGAGGGTATGTCAGACTTGGAATATTTACAGGTAAAGACAAATCACTTGTCTGCTTAGATTTAGTGATATCTGCGAAATTTTCTCATTACTTCATGTCCTACATATTTACCAGGATGTAAGTTGTGTGTGTGTGTGATGCTTTCTTTGAAGACACCTATGTATTATCATTAAATTAATGTACTAAGAATTCTCAAACTTGTGCATGAAAGATGCTTCCTATTCGTAGGTCATTTATGGTAAATCAGCCTTCAAACATTTAAATGGAGCAATCAATTCCTAAAACTCTCAAAAAGTTTTCAATCAAGTCCTTTGTCGACTTTATCTATTAAACTTGAGAGAACCAGACATGGCTGTGCGCAGCAATGACAGTCAGGATTTTATTTAGATTTTTTTAACAGGCATCAATGTAGAAAATATGTTAAACGATTTAGCAGTTAATTGCTCTTCTGGAAATTTTTAGGATTGAATTACAGAAGTGTTGGGACTTCTGGGGTTCTAATCCATGCCATCGTCACTTCACTAGTAGTTACTTGTCCATTGTCGGATTAGCAAGACTTGGGAATTTTTTTTTTAAGTATACAATTAATGTTTCATGTTATAAACTTCCTTTTATTCATTGGGGCCCAGACTGCGCTATAGGCTAAAAAGTTTCTGTATGGGACTCCTAGGACGGAGAACCGTTGAGCGATTGCCTTCTCCGTCGGATGAATGTTACGAAACCTTTATTTCGTGGTATGTGTTCTATCTAAAAAATAAAAGGAAATTCCTCTTGGAAAGTGTGAATCAATGTTTCACACTGGGCTGCTGGCTCTACTGCCTTGTGTGATCACCTTGTGATGGTAATCTTATCATCTAAATCATATCTGTTGTCTAATAGCTAAATCGCTTTATTTGTGATTCTTGCTGGATTGATGGACATTATGCATCCCTTTCCAAATATTGTGAGCTTCGTCATGTCCTGGTTTTGAATCACCTTCAAGTTGGTCTCTTCATATGTATATCCTTCATAAAGAAAGTTGATCTCTTAATTTGTCAGAAATCATGCAGACTTGAATACCCTTGAGGTGTGCATTTAAGTACACATTGATATGAGGATCGAGGTGCAGTTGAAACTTGAAAGTGTGATTTATGCTACTGAGTTCATTATGGAGTCTTTAATTGGAGGCAATGGAGCACCAATCAAAGTTATAGGGTGGTCTTGTTTTTTTGGGTAATTTTTGTGTCTTTAGGGTCGTCTTCAATTACCAGTTTGGTGGTAATGGCAGGAAGTAAAAATTAAGCTTACTGCACTTTTGGTTGCGATACTACCTATCACCTTACATGCTTATTATGGGTTATTACGTATTAGAGTATTCACAAAATATCCTTCTTCGAAAGCGGGATAGTATTTATTACAGTTAAGAAATAAGAATGGGGTAAGTGCGTTAGAAGTCCTAAAACTTGTAACGAAAGTGCAATTGAGTCCTAAAACTTTCAAAAGGTGCAATTAAGTCTTAAAACTTATTACAAAAGTGCAATTGAGTCCTAAAACTTTCAAAAAGTGCAATTGTCACTAAAGTGTAATTGAGTTCTAAAACTTTCAAAAAGTGCAATCAAGTCCTAAAACTTATCAAATTGGTCCAATCAAGTCCTTCCAAGGATTGCTCTTTTCGAAAGTTTTAGGACTCGATTGCACTTTTGTGATAAGTTTTAGGACTCAATTGCACATTTTGAAAGTTTTAGGACTTAATTGCACTTTCGTGACAAGTTTTTGGACTTCCGGTATACTTATCCCAATAAGAATTAACAATACTATGGTAAATGTAATTACAGTTTGATAAATCTATTATGCTATGATCAAAGGCTTCCTTACAAGATTATACTCATCAATACATAATAACTTTGCTCCCTTATAGCTAAATCAGTTTGAGCTAAAAAAAGGAGTGCATATGACCTGGTTATACTCCTCCATTTTTCTTATCAAGTTGTTCTTTGTGCTTCCGTTTTCACCATGTCTAGGGCCACTTATACAGTATGATAATTACATAGTTAAAATGGATTTCATTTTCTAGTATGATGGCATTCTTAACATATTAATATTATCTTATGATATTAGTTGTTTGCAGTAATGTTAGATAGGAAGAATGTATGGCATTCATGTTCTGCGAAATTTCCAGCTTGAAATTGTGTTTCCTCGACAGCTGCATTTCCTACGATCAATGAGTTTATAAGTGTGCTTTTTAAGTGGGTTCATTTGGGTTTCTTACGAATTGGTTTTATTTTTCAGCCATCCATTGCTGTTGTGCTGGGCTTCATCGGGTGTAAAATGATCCTAGATTATTTTGGTACTCCTTTTTGGGCTTCTGTTTTGTTTTCCATGTGATGTCTGCTATTGAGAGGAATAGCTAAATGCTTTCCTTGGCAGGTTTCCATGTTTCGACAGAGGCTTCTCTCGGTGTTGTAGCAACATGCTTAAGTGCTGGAGTAGTGTTAAGTCTTCTCAAGAAATCTGATTAGCCAGAGATGCCGTTTAAGCATACAGCTGCCTCAGGTGAGAAATCTGCTTCTTAATGTTGCATCTGACTAACCAGTGCTCCTTCATTTCACACATCCAGCCATCCTTTGTTCATCGTGACATGAGAGTTGTAACTTTATGCATCTCCAAAACTGTGATGGTTATTGTCAAAGAACGGACTACCTTTAGTCTTTGGAGAGCAAGATTGTTTTGAAAGAAAAATACTTTCCCCCACATTCTTCACCCTCTGGAGGCAAGATGCACTTGGATAGTGGCTAGGAGACTTTCCAGCCTCATCTTCAGCTTATTTGCTGTATGTCCACTATCGTTTCTTATGAACATGATGGTGATAAGATGCTTGTCTTTAGGTTTTTGTGCGGTGTGCTCACTCTCCAACATTCTTGAGCTCCTCTGGAAATGGTGGTATCTTTGGGAGAATAAGTACCACCAGATGTCCATAGATTGCCAGGAACTCCTCTTGCCATTCCAAAAGGGAGAATAAGTGAGGAAGCGAAGATAGAAAATATAGTCGATAGGTTGAATTCATTTGCAAAGCACAAGAGCACTTTTATTGGTGAAGCCTACATGATGCCTTCACTGATCCAGTGTTTCTTGGTTACTGTTCAGGTATTTGAATAAGATGTCCAAAGAACTGTGTGTACTGCCCGTGCAATTCATTTTTAGTGTTGGTCCCAAGAAATTTGTTGCTTCGCTTTATACTGAATTCCAAGCTCAGGGAACACTTCCTCGTGGAAAAAAGTTGAGATGCTTCTTTGTTTGGAAATGGGTTGATTTAATCATCGGGGAGGTGGTGCCCAATGGATCGAAGGAGAGAATCTCACTTGTTGATCATAAACCTTGTAGGCATTTAAGATGAAGGAACTTTGCATAGGAATTACGACAATGATGCTCGGGATATCGGTGGACCCCCGAGAACCCCTTTAAAACTGTGGCTTGAGCTGTAGAGGTATCTGTGACTCTGGTGCAGCCTATGTGCTTTAGAGAAAATGAAATGCATTTGTTTACACTTAATATAGATTGAGGGCAAATTAAAACTTTTTGGCGGGCGGAAAAGGGTTAGAAGTATAAGGTTGAACGTTAAACGTTTCACGTGCCGATCAAAATCAAATGGATCGCAGCATGGGTTCGTGGAGTTTCCATTTGGATGAAAAGTTGCGAGGGCATTGTGCGTCAGCACTGATGAAATCTGCAGCATCTACTCAATGTTTTATTATTAAAATCTAGAGCATTCCTAGAGTTCTGAGCAGAAACCGATGAAAGATCTGTTTACGTGCTTGAATGAAAAACCATGACGTTAATCGGACTGCCTGCTTTTGAGTTTTGACTAGTTCCAAACGCGTAAAAGTCATTTAAATGGTGATGTGGTGAACATATTCCCGGCGGATGAACTGTGCGACCTTACGAGAACTTTTATTTTTCAGTGGGATACAGTATAAAATTTCGTGGAATTTCGACACATGATCGATTTGGTCTAGTAAAATGAGTCTACACGATGATTGCTCCTACTGTTAGCTTGAACATAAAATCGAAAGGAAAAGTTTATTATATGTGGACCGAGTGTATTCCCTCAACTGTATTCAACCATTGAGGATACCGGTTGGATTGAACGATATCTATTCGGATGCATACAATAATGTCTTGGAAATAGACCACACCTGACCTCATTGCTGAGCAACTCTATCGCCATACATAATCAAAGCAAAAATCAAGCCGAACACTTCTTCGTGTGATGTATAATTAACATTCAGACACACACTTCAACCTCACAATGATCTTGAATTGCAACTCCTATATCATTCTTCATAAGCCTAAACCTTTCACTCAAATTGCACAAGACACTAGGCCAAAAGTGCAGCAATGGCCACTGATCCGTAAGATAACCCACCTTCATCTCACCTATTTACCTCTTTTGTTCCATTTTATTTTGCTTTATGGATTTGGTTCCCAGCATGAACTTCTGCTTTTTCTTTTCTTTTTTCTCTTGGTGCCTTACTTAATGCAGAAAAGCGAGAGAGACTCTCCCTGAACCACTGGATTCTACTTCAAGCCCACCTCCTCTTTTTGATGGAACCACCAGGTGATGCTCAGATTATGACTCTCAACATGCCCCATCTTTCCTTACTCTTATTCAGCTACCTCTCATCCACATCACATCAAGCTCTAAAAACTTTTCTTTTCGAAAGTATGTTGCGTACATGCATTTTATAGATGATGTGGTGGTCGGCAGAACCAATAATAGTGTAAAGACTACATGAAAACTCGTGTTTTTTAATGGGACGTAATAAGGGTCCTACATAATTTTGATATGTGATTAGTTTGGATCTATTAGAGAATTAGTGCTTTCGATCCTTTTTTTGGTAGATCTCTTGAATGAGTACATTTATGTAGTATCTGCAGCTTGGTTTGCACTGTATTGTAGAACACCCAACCATTTGACAATGAGATTCTAAGGCTTTCTCCTTGTCTTCTAGGTTGTATATAACTTATAGAAGCCCTTATGCCCAGCGTGTATGGATCACTAGAAATTGCAAGGTCTCTCTCTCTCTCTCATTGCTTTTCTTCTGATTCTCTGTCCTTTATTCTGCAATTCCAACATGGTTACTGCAGTGAATGTTTGTGCTGACTGTCGAGTTGTTGCAGGGACTGCAAGACAAGATCAAGTTGGTCCCTCTCTCTCTCCACGACAAGCCTGCTTGGTACAGAGAGAAAGTTTACCCCGTAGACAAGGCACTGCTCTCTCCCTCTCTTCTCTCTTTAGTCAAGTTGTCCTGTACGGAGCTCTGTGTCATTTGATGAACTCCGTTAAGAATTCCATTGAGAATTGAATTGAAAGATTTCGCACTAAGCAACATGTGCTTGCATTAGACACTGCAACGTTCAGCAAAAGATTACTCTTATATAGTGAGGATGAATAATCTTTTGCACGGCCACCTCTAGGGGTAAAGAATCGAAAGAAGTGAAAGGGATCTAGTCGTATTCAGCGAGAGTGCGTCTTATTATGACAAGTTGGTGATTAATTTTCTGTTACTCTGATCACATAATTCTTCTCTTTCATCAATTGCATCAGGTGCCATCTCTGGAACATGACAACAAGGTCATGGGAGAGTCTCTTGATCTGATGAAGTATATAGATAGCAATTTTGAAGGGCCTTCTCTTTACCCCACTGTAAGTCTTCACATTTCTTTTTGGGGGGGCTAAAATTGTATGGACGAGTTAAACCCGCATTTTAATTTCTCCCTCGATTTGATGAATTTAAAGTTGGGTAAAATTTCATTCCGCAGGATCCCGTGAAAAGAGATTATGGCGAAGAGTTATGGTGTTACTCCCTCGAATTCATTGAAATGATGTATTCCGCATTGAAAGGAGAAACAGTCAAAGTACTGGGTAAGACTAAGAATAAGAACCGTCTTTGCTGAGGAACTCAGAGAACTCCAGACTAACATGCATACATATGTTGAAGAGTACATTTCCAGATGAACTAACGTTGAATTTCATGTCAGGTCCTCCTCTCGATCACTTAGACCGTGCCCTCCAAAAATTCGACGACGGGCCGTTCTTCCTCGGCCAGTTCAGTTTGGTAAGATACATTTTTTACAGATTTAATTGCAACCAAAATGATTCAAAAATACGATCAGCAGTATACAGTACACATCCATCTTGCAATATGTTGCTTCAAATAATGATGCCTCGCATACATGTGCTTTTTGCAACTGAATCGTATCCTGATTTCCACAACTGATTCACAATTTAGGTGGACATAACTTTCATACCGTTTGTCGAAAGAATCCAGTTACTCTTATCAGATGTATGGAAGTATGACATCACGTTGGGGAGGCCGAACTTAGCTTCCTGGATAGAGGTAAATATTCACCGACACTTGTTCATACATATTTGAGGTACTCGGCACACATTTGACTTCCCCCTATTCAAAAAAGGTGAGCAGCCCTTAAACAAGAAAGAAGGCTGAGGGCTCTTTTTATATAATCCATAAGCCCTAAGTAGTTCAGAAAGCCGAACTCGCCAACGCTGCACCAAGTTCTCTTGCACTTTGAAGTTCATATTCACTGGCTTGTACTTGTATTCATGCACTCACCGATTTGAACATGTGACTGCCCGCTCTCATACATGGACGATGTGCTCAACTTAATAAGCTGAGTGATTCTTACCAGACCGAGTGATTTTGTGTAGGAGATGAACAAGATCAACGCTTACACGCAGACCAAATATGATCCTCAAGACATCATCGCATATATCAAGGCGCGCTTCTTGGTACCATTCCTTCTAAGACACCCTCATTTGCCAACATCGTTTCCTGTCAGAAATTAAGCAACTCATGTGTGTTTACTTCTCACAAGAAATTTACTTTGCAGGTGCAGCATTGAGACCTGAGCACAGTAGCTGTAAACTTTGTGTGTGTGGTGGGTGTGAGAGTTTCGACTTTGCGAGATGCCGCTGTACTTTTTGCTGAGGCCGTTAGAAGTCTCGGTCCCTTACTTTGTATTGCATTCTTAACGCTTGAATAATATTTGGATAAATAATGAGTGTACTGTATCAGTACACTTTTGCTTTAACCTACGAATGCATACAATCAAAGACTCGAGAGATTTTATCATCATTTCTTCTCCTTTAATTTGGTTATTGCCATCTTTTCTCTTCTGAACACTTCAGACCGCAACACGGCTGCAATGGTTTCCGTCTTCGACATGAATACAATACACAAGGAAAGTATGACGAAGAGAATGATAAGTAGGGGAATGATTGATCACTTTAGAAATAAAGGTAGCGAGGGAAGATTGATCACTTTAGAGCTCAAGGCAGTGGATCGAAAAGCCTTGAAAAAAATTGGCCCAACCCACTCAGATATACAGGACAACCAGGGCAAATTCCAACGTAAATGGGAGGATAATCATGAAGAGCAACTGTTATTGAACATCAAAATGGTGTTCAAGTTCAAGCCATAAAAGCAAAACCGACTGTAGACCGAATACTAACTGCCTAGACACAGCTTGTTGATACCGAATGACGCCAAAAAGAAGAGATTATACTTGAATACAGATCTATATTTCACTTTAGTAACATTGAAAAGAAGACGGTTACATTCTAAGTGTACTCCCGACAGATAATGTTTACTTGCTCTCCAAAATACAAGGCTAAAGGGGTATCAAACACATGATGTATTAAGTAAGATCAGGGTCAAAGCCACACCACAGCTAAAGGAAGAATTGCAGATCTAAAAGAAAGCCAGAAAGAAATAGGAAGGCTATATACATGGGGCAGAGAGACAAAGAAGGGCCAAGAAAGTGGTAAAACTACTTACAAGGCTGTTTGCATACACTTACGGCAAGGAAAGTTCGGAAGCCACCCCCATAGGAAACCATAAAAGATCTAATTGATGGCATGCATAAACAAGGAGTTAACTTTGATCGCTAGAATGTAATCTGTAGTGTAATCGCTTCGAAAGTAAAACAGAGCGCTTCGGACCAGCAGCTGCATTGGCTGGGTCAAAGAGCGACCCTCAGACACCGAGTATCCCGAAAAGTTCTGTCCTAAACCTGGTACCATAGGACTCACTTAATCTTCTTGGTTTTCTCTCTGTCTGATATTTTACCACTGTTGAGCTTCTTGAAGCTTACTTTCTTAACTCTAGGAGGGGTAAGAGGAGCAAATTGGTTGCTCAGGGCTGATTGGGTATCAGGATCATATTTTTGGGAAGCAAGATATGTCAGAGCTGTGACGACATCAGCGATGACTGGACGCAAATTAGGCTGCTCCTGGACGCACATTGCAGCAATTGCAAGAGCTTGGTACAACCCCCTTGGAGGGCAATGACCTTGGAGCACCGGGTCAGCCATAAGCATAAACTTTCTTCGATCTTTGAACAATGGTTTTGCCTGCAGTTTTCAGATGAAAATTGCATTAGACTAATCCAACATGAAGTCACCAGGAGTAATAAAGAGAAAATCGCATAAGCTTCCACAAGGCTACCCCTGATAGCTTTGAGATGCTCTAGCTTCTAAACCTTTTAAGAGATAGTAATTGCAAAATTTTCTAGAAATATGAAATCATAAAGATTCTAACATTACCAAGATAATTTTACAACAATAATAAATATCATATTAATAATAACATATAAGAAATTTATTATAATAACAAGATACCGATAAAAAATAATTATAATACATGATGTTTCAATTATCTTTATTTCTACAAAACATTATTCTAAGGATATATAAATGTTATAGACATCATCATAATTTCACTAGTATAAAAATAAAAATATTATTGCTACTACTATTATTGTTGTTGTTGGGACATATAGATGTTATAGTTATCATTAGATGATGATGATAATCATTACTAGTAGTATCATTTTTATTATATGGTGAAAATGGAATATACCAAAAACTTTAAGAACATAGACATGAAATATTCAACAATGTTATGTGAAGGTCCATTTATATCAAGGAAAATGAATGAAAAATATCATTTCATCATTTGGATAGTCTCAACAATCTTACAACAGTTTTTGTCAAATGCATTAATCATCACAGGACACCACCTTTAAGCAATGAGTTGCCAAGCACATACGCTGTTACAGCATAGTTACATCACAACTACAGCTGTACCATATACATTTGTACGCATGTCACTTCACTGCCCCTATGTATCATTTAACTTTTAATCATGTCTAAAGACATTAGAGATGCCCTCACTTAAAAGTTCACCAAATGGAAGATTTTCAGTAGACTCCATACATGGAAACAACAAGAAAAATATAGGTATCAACTATTAGCATCTCTTACCCATGCAACCAGGTTTTGTTCTCCCGCAGCTCTTGAATTGTCGATTGCTTTCCTGCCAGTTATAATTTCCAAAAGGACCACGCCAAAGCTGTAGACATCTGATTTGAGTGTCAGTTGACCAGTCATAGCATACTCTGGAGCGCAATATCCATAGGTGCCCATAACCCTGGTAGATACATGAGTGTTATCACCTACGGGCCCGAGTTTGGCTAAGCCGAAATCAGATAGCTTGGGATGATATCCCTCATCAAGCAAAATGTTGGAACATTTCAGGTCTCTGTAGATCACAGGAGGGCTAGCTCTGTCATGTAAGTATTCCAAACCTTTCGCTGCCCCAGCTGCTACTTTCATTCTAGTGTTCCAGTCAAGTTCTTTCTTACCAGGTGAAGTGTCTGCAAGGAAAAACATGAGATGTGAGAGACAGTCAAGCAGTTGAGAGAACATAACCAGCAGGAGCTGACTCATTGATATGGACGTAGATATTTGTGGTGCATATATCTATACCGTGTAGATGGTCTTCCAAAGATCCCAATGGCATGTATTCATAGACCAGAAGCCTCTGGTCTCCATCAGCACAATAGCCTATGAGGTTGACAAGGTTAGGATGGTGAAGCAGACTCAGCATCAATACTTCAACAAGGAACTCCCTGTTTCCCTGCAACCCATTTCGATCAAGTTGCTTGATAGCCACAACCTACATTAACCAAAAGATGGTTCAAATTGCCTCACAGTGTAGGTGTCAGAGTTACAAGTCTTCAGTGAGTAGAAAGTACTTATATCTAGGCTTCCTGTAATATGATACACATCAAGTTAAATCAAGGATTGTTTATATAGCTGCTAAATGAACAGAGATAGTGCATTAGCACTTCATAGATAGCTACAACCTTGACTGTACATAGATGAGGATTCAGTTAACTATTAACATTGTGGAAGTACAAAGGGTGAAACTCTTTGGAATGCAAGATTCCTGTTTCAAGTGATCATCACATGAAATAAAAATTTGAAGAAAATATGAAAGCAAAAAGCTGAGAAAACCAAACTTCGCACAACAAGCGCCATACTAGCATCAGAAAAGGACCAACCTCACAAACATTTACACCCAAACTTTTAAACCATGGAAAATGAGAATAAACACTTGACATGCGACTTCACTTCTATCTACCTGATTAGTTTCCAGACGGCCTCTATACACTCTACCAAAACCTCCCTCACCCAAAAGACAGTCTGCTCTGAAATTCCTAGTTGCAACTGCCAGGTCTCGGAAGCTAAAAGTCTGCGCTGCAATCTGGTCAGACCCACCCCCTCGCGAGGCCTCCGTTCCACTCAGTGAAGAATTCGATTTCAATCTCTCTGAACAACACAGACGACAGTCAAAACATCAGGAATCAGAGAAAATACAATACAAAACGGACTATGGAATGAAATTATTAATCACAAAAGGTTGAGCAGAACCAAACGCAAATGACAGAGCACTAGCAATCCACAGCAAGAAGCGAAATTCCCCATCAAGTCCACATTTTATCACTAAATTTAACGAAGAAACGCATCGATAAGTAACTTTACACAAGATTTTTGTCAATATCCCAGTTAACGCGCCTCCACATCGCATCCACCGACAAAAAAGAACGAGCTTGAAGCACACGCGTAAGCAGGCGATGCTTTTTGTTCTCTCCTTTGACAAAATGACGCCGTACAAAAGAAGCGGGCGAATCCACAACCGGACCTGAACCTAGGCTTCACTTGACCAGAATGTCTAGACGACAAAAACCACGCCCGCCAAAATCCTCGCGGCACTGTTGAAAACGCGCGCTTCATTCATGCGTCCTAGTTCTACCGGGAGAGGAGACGATCGGCGGCGCGTACCTGAGGAAGACTTGCCGTGGTGATCGAACGGCCGGTTCCGCGCGCTCATCTCCTTCTTCTTCGACTTCGAAACGCCGGAGCACGGGATCCAACCCATCGCGCTCCCCCCCCCCCCCCCCCCTCCCTCCTCCGTATCTCCGCCGCTCGAACGGGCGCGCCGGACCGGCCAACTCGCTCCTCCTCCGCCGCTCCTCCTCTTCAGCTCCGATCAGAACCGCCGCGCGCGCGCGCCCCCCCGGGGCGAGCAATCTCGAATCGCCGACGCGGGAGAGAGCGAGTGAGCTCCTTGCTCTTCTTCTCTGTTTCCACCTGCGAACTCTTTCCTCTCTCTATCCTTCTTTCTTTCTTCCGCGCAGGAATCGTGCAGCGAAACGGCCCGGAATAATGGAAAGCGTGGAAGCGGACAAAAAGCGGGGCGTCGTTTTCGGCCCCCCCACCACACCCCGGGGGCGGGCAAACGGTGTCGTGTTTGGGAACGCCCCGTTGATCTTTTCCCCGTTCCTCTTTTCTCGTCGTGTTTTAATATTACTAAAAGCTTTGACCGAACGATTTCTTGTTTACGCGGAAGAGGGGGGGGGGGGGGGATGATTGGGTGAGCGTCCGCGGACGATAAGGCCGGATCACGGAGCGTCGGAGCGGGACCCGGTCGGGGCCAAACGGACGGCCGTGATTCCTCGGCCAGGGGGCGACGGGCGTTCGTGGGCGCACGATCGGCGTCGGCAGTGGGACCCACGTGGGGGCGATGATCTGAGATTCGGAGAGATTGTCTTGTGCTGTTGAGACCGAATCTCTCCCCTTCTTTTTTTATTTTTTGGGGTCTGTTTTATATTATTTAATATTTTCTTTATTGCCTCGCCCGGCCAGGTGCTCGGATGGACGGCCGTCCTTCGGCGTGCCATTTGGGCCCCACCGACTTGTCCCGCTTTCCGAACGAATCGCAGCCGTTGATGATAAATAATGACACTAGTAATAGACCGTGTGATATATTTAACTTTTAGTCGGTCGCGATATACATAAATAAATAAATAAATTATTAGTTGGTTCGATTATATATTATGGACTCATCTTTATTATCCAACTATAGCTTCTGAACAAAAACACAAGAAGAAAATGTCCAACTAGCCGGTCTAGAATTCATTTCTCATACTTTAATTTCCCTATTTGAATTCGAGCGGATTACTTTGAAACTTCTCTGGCAAAAATGCTAACGACATAATCTCCGTCTAAATTTTGAGGTGAGCTTGTTGTGGCCAAGCCTGCGAGAGGGTTTAAGTCGCGTCATATTTGAGTCGGTTCGAAAATAATCCGTTCTAAACTGACCCATTTTTGTGCGACACAAATCACTAGGGATCCATACACGTTCCGAGCCGGACCTAGCTCAGCCCATGTCACTAAATTTGCAAGAACTCTATAAACATAAATTAGATTTCGCAGGAATCAAGTTCACTTTCGATCCCATGTTGACTCTTTTCAAATCGACATTATTATGACCGATCTTCCCGACGCAGATCTAATTAACACACACACAAATCCCAATTCCTGCAACGTTCACCTTGCTTTTGCAGCTACGTCTTTAACGCGACAATCACGCGGAAGAACTGCAAGAGTAAACGGTCAACGTGCTCTTCCTCTGCTTTCTCGACCGCAATCTCTACGGAATCCCAGATCTCGCGAATCGTTGACCCTTGGTCAACCAACACGCGGAAGGATCCATCGAAGGCGACGGAGCGGGTCGAGATCAGGGGGGTACCACCGAGACATTCTACGAGCGACGCGTGGGGGGGCCGTTCGCCAATTCTTCGGACGAGAAGGATGGGCAGTGGACGAGACATCCCACGACGGAGACAGCTAAATTTGGCGAAACCCCGTTACCACCCACCCACGAACGTAAAGATTCACGATGATTCGAAATGACGTTCGGAACAGAGCCTGAGAGGCCCACCTGCTGAATACCTCCAACCAACCTTCTCTTGACAAGAACGTTAAAGAAAGTATCGTATGAAGCGGGATGAAGGTTTCATGTTGACACCATTCGTGCTTTGTTAACGCATGGGCAATGATTGCTTCGAGGTTGGCGAATGTACCCATCTGGACAAGATTTCCCGTGCCGTAAGTTCGGTCCCGCATGAGCGCATCGATGTGCTCGAGTCTACTTCACTCCTGCATGCATGGTTCGTCGACTTACGGTGCGTGTTTCGATCCCGGGAAGATATCGAAGTAGCGTCCTGCTTTCGTCGACAGTACGTGGCGCAAAAGAATGGTGGGTAGTAGTCCGAGCTTACGTATGATGATCGGGCGATTTAGTTATGAGTTCAGTGAGAGTTGACAGGATCGCGAGCTGCACAAGTTGTTTGGATTAGCGTAAATCTGAGGCAAGAATGAATAAAAAGGAGAGGGCAATGGATCTTGCACTGCATCGAAGTGGAACGAATTATCTGTGATACATGGCAGCAGCAAGTAGTTCTGTACCGCCGACAAAATTTCACCTAAACTTCGAAGAAGGCACGAGTGCACGTATTACTACAATCAGTGTCCCTAGTCCGTCGATCATACTGAAAAGGGGAAAAGCTAACCCTGTCCAATGGCAGCAGCGTGGCTCACATGAAATGTTGGAAATACGGTGTTTTTCATGACAAGGCAAAATGGAGGTCATACCGTCTTGCCTTCGTCAATTTCCGGTCAGATCAGCAACGCATCGAAACGTTGTGCCTTTCGCTAAGGCTTATCTGTTAGCTTGGTGATCAGCTGGATTTGTGCCCTTGAGGGGCATTTCGTGGTTATGCTTCCCTTCATATGTTGTTATGAAAGATTTGGGATCATCCATTGCTCTTTCCACATACTTGCGCACGCTGCACTTGAGACTCGTACATCTATAGTAACTCCTGCAGAACATTTTAAACCTCAAATAAGAGAGATTCAGGGGAAACACTATGCACGTTGCTAACTATCTCTCTCTTATACAGCAATATGTGAGGTTGCTTCTTGTTAGAGAATGGTTAATGACCATTCAATTATCCACTACCAGGGTTCCGTTTATCTAAGCTGCCCTTGCACGCTCAACACGCAAGATTATGCGTGAGGTTTTTCCTACTTGAACATGAGTGTTGAGTTTCTAATATCCCCTCACTAATATGGTGTAACTAAAATCCAAAAAGTTCTATTCTACCCGACCACTTAAGCTATTGGGTTGGAAACAAGTCTCACCTGGGATGGGGGTTTCCCTTGACAACCTTCTGGCCATATTTCCTCCAGCGAAAGCCATCACCCAGAACCTCAGAATCGGTTGAATTTTGCCGATCAGTGCAGGGCTCTTGTACCCCTTCAGCGATGATGCCTGCTTCGCTGGGTCCACTTTCAGTTCTCCTGGAAGAGAGATCACACATGATTTCAAAAATCGCAGAGTGTTCACATCAACAACAGTCGCTCTCAATTTTGCAAGGATAAACGTAAATAAGCATCAACAAATAATGAAAGAATATAAATTGCTGCAGTCATTCAAGTTTTCTCACTGCAAAGCTACTTATTAAATTGACGACAACTTGAGGTACCCCAGTTCTGAGTGACCTAAACACTAGCAATTTCTGATTGTATAGTACTGGTCTCTCACCTTCTCTTACTCCTCGGTTCATCATTACCCATTTCCTTTGTCTTGCTTCCATCGTCTGCCCCGCTAATATTACACGAACTGTCAGGAGTCCCACCAGAAGGACCAATTGCCTCGTTTGCAGCGACTGGGTCATGAACTATCAGGCCCTTGCCTTGATAAGACGAATTTGCCGCTAATCCTACCTCAGTCTGATTTTCTACTCTACCGAGAGAACCTTCATTCTTTTCGCCTGGTTGGCTACCCCATAATGGGTTGCTATTGTCTTGTTCTGTTCCATCAGGTATGGTCCCAAGCCCCTGCATCCCTGATGAACTGCGTTTAGGAGGCTGAGGCTTTGGATGGTTATGCTCACCCTTGTACACTATTTCTGCTATCTGTCCATCAAGTGATCGCTCAACCTTCTTCTTCACCGGACAGTTTGGGTGGGTACACTTGTAATAACTTCGTGGGTACTCACTCCCTTTTACCTGTTTTTGTCCATATTTTCTCCAGTTATACCCATCATAAGAAGGACGATCCACACTAGCTGTGGATGGTAAAGCTTTTTGGTCCTCCTCAACGTCCTGAGCTGCCAATTTCAAGGGTTCGCTCGTCTGTTCGGTCACTGCAGCACGTGGTATAATTTGACGAGCATTTGAGCTCGTTTTTGATTTCACACGGCGTTTTTCTGGAGTCGAACTATCAGATGGTTGTATGGCTGGTTGAGTAGCATTGAAGTTCCCCTGTTGAAAAGAGAATTTCTTTTTAATGGATCTAACTGGAGATTGGAACTAGATATCACCCAAAAAAGTTTCCTGTATTCGGGCACATTACTTACTATTACTATGCGATCTTTACTGAAAGGAGAACCACAAGCATGAAACAGCAATCACAGAGGCTGAAAACTTACCATATTAGCCAAGAGTGAAGCAGCAGCTTTTGACACTGGCTTTGCCAAAGGTTTATATACTACAGTCCGCTGACTGTCCGAATTTGAAAGTGTATCCACTGAATTGCAGATTGCAGCTCCAGAGATTTCAGCCTGAATATGTCCAGTACACTTAATGTTATATTAGGAAAGATCGAAAAAGGTTTAAATAAAGAAAATGGTCGAGTAGTCACCTGGGATGAAAATATGGCAGCTGAAGTGCGATTCACCGCAGGCTTGAACCTCACTGTCTTGGGTTTAATTGGGGCAACACCGCTTTCAGAACCCATTTTAGGGGTTGATTCATTAATTGCACCTGCAAGGAGCTCTGAGAAAGACCTAAAAGTGGAAAAGGTAGGCCGTGACGCAACTGGTTTTGCGATCACTGTTCTCTCTGCCTCTTTAGTCTCCATTTGTACTTGTATAGGCAATAAATATCAAATTCACTCAATGCATAGCTAGCTTGTTCAAGATACAGGATGATTAGGTACTCTAATCTATCTTGTGGCCAGAACGCTATATAGTCTTAGATTCAGGTGGCAGAAGTTTAGTTAACGTGATGGTGGGGTAGAACAATGCTTCGAGAGCCTCCACACTCAGCCAACTAATAACTTCAGCTTAGTAAGTGCATTATAACATCTTCTGACCTGCATAATATTGGAAATAGTAAGTATATTGTATTTTCCCTCAAAAGAGGAGAAGAAAAAGTAGAGCTCGCATGGTCATGTTGCGTATTAGAATAATTAAGTAATTGCACATGTGGATTCAACTGGTCAAACAAGTGAGATCCCACACAAGAAAGAAAAGCAACAAATCTCAAATTTACAAGGGCTTCTTCAACAAACAGAGGCCACAATAAAAAATTGCAGCAACAAAACAATCGAGGATAGTTTGATAGATATACAACTACTATCACGAGATTCTCAGAATATGCAAATTGGAGAAGGCACAGTCACTGGTATTAGGTTTTCTTTTTTTTTTTTGGTCGTGACTGGTATTAGGTTGAAGGAGTTCATTTTATATATATGTTAGCATATGAAAAATATAATGTGAATCATTTTCTAACGGCTAAAACTTTTAGAACAAATGGTTGCACACTTAACTTTTGTCGTATTACTGTTCTTTGGTTTGATTTATATAAGAAATGGATATGCAGCAACTTTAAGAATATCTAAACACTATCATACAGTACTACAAAATATGCAAATCACAAAAAAAACAAGTTGCAAATATACATCAGGAGTCAGGGCCTAATAAGGGATAAGAATGAGGCTGCAGAAAAAGTTAACTAATGGGATATCAAAACTTGTTGAGATATCAAGTCACCACCTTGCTGTCATGATCTATCAAACCAAAAACAAAAAGATTAAGCTGCCCCAATTCCAAAATTAGATGCATAAATGCGCACCATGAAGGATTAGTTAACAACAGCAAACAATTTCAAGTACTTTGTTAAAGTAGCCCCCATTGCCATTTACGGGGTTTGACTAGGCCTCGTAACATAGTCTCCCTACATACAATAACTTAAAACTTTTGAGTTGGAAATTCAAACATTGTATCAAAGTCAAGCTTAACTTGTCCATGCCCCATTTAATGTTCTGTTTAGCATGGGGTTCTTGTTCATCTTGTTACTCGTCTGTCAATTCTTTCAAACCCTATATGTTATGTAATGCATGAATATTATGGGTGAAGCCGAAGTAGGAGGAATCAGGTGGTCAATCAAGCAACAGTGCAGCAAACAAAAAGCAAAAAAAGCAAAACAATATTTTTGTGAGAGTTAAAGCTCTCTACTGGAGCACTGAACACAGCTTCGCTTTGTCATTTTCTTTATTATCAGGAAGATTAGTGCAACGAAAGAAACAATCTTCATTTCAACTTTTTATCACCAAATGGCAAGTTAAAGGCAATATATAGGATGCCGACTGCATTTGTCTGTAGGCTGTGTACTAACAAATCAGATCCTCCGACGCACCTCAATCAAAGAGTAGATGTTGGCTCGTTATCATAGGGACAGAATTTCTTCCTTTCCAAGAGTCTTAGTTTTTCATTGACAAACATTATGGGACACATTGAATCCATTTCTTTGAACCATGCCTTACATTAATTACAGTTTTAGCTAGCAGCTTCAGATGAAAGATTCTAAACTGAGAACCCAATAACTCTGGAACCATAAATACGCGTGACCGCAACGGACATTCTAGTAGCCTATGATTTGGATAGATTAGAAAACCTCCCCTTATAATCATCAAATCTTCCCCTGCATCATCACCCCTACTAAGCTCAACCGAAAATTTCATATTCAGAAATAATATTCTTGCAGTCCACCAGTTTAATCTAGGAGAAACTGATTCCCTGCCATAAACGTAGTCACAGACAGTAGAATACTCTTTACTCCGCTATAGACATTTCCAGTTCCATAAGATTAAACTAAAGCTTCACATCCAATTCTAAGTAATCAGTCAGTGCCAGAGAGGTGCACAACAAGCCAATTACGACTTCCTGGATACCCGACAATCCACAAGATGCACCAAATGAAAACAACATGGAACTATGGAACCACCAACAATATCATTCAAGAAAAAAGAACACCAAATGAAGCAAACTAGTTCAGGAATCATCATGGCACAAGAAAATACAGGAAAATGTAAGCACCTAACCAGAATGTCGGTCGCAACGAGCACGAAATGGAATTGCTCAACCTCCAGAGTATTTCAGCAACTAATTAGAGAGTCCATCCTGATCTGCATTACAAACCAAACAACATTAAAAACCATAGACAACTCAAAAATCCGGAAACCCAGACAACAAAAAAAGACGAGAGAAAAGAAAAGAAAAGAAATGAGAAGAAATCTGATGTTTACGAAAGTCAGCAAGCGTGAAAAAGAAATCAAACTTGACCATGGACAGACAAGAAGCCCGAACTCATTTCAAGCAAGAATGCGAAGCTCATGAAAATCAGGTAGACGTGCAAAAAGAAACAGAAGAAAACCCAAGAAATTTTGTCTCTTCTCAAGACTAAACAAAGACAACTCGCGCAGAGAGGTTTGACTGATCCGGAGCTTCGACGTCTTCCTTGAACAGCGAACTTCTGAATCTGATCGCCGTTTTTAAAGTCCCAAAAGCCAAACCACAGAGAGAGAGAGAGTTCACACCTCGAGAGAAGAAAAGCTGCAAGAAATGATGCCCAAGAGAAAAACCAAGAAAGAATCGACGGAATCCGAGCAACTGCCCCTTCTTTTTTGAAGTGATAACTTTTCTTTCTTTCTCTCTTCCCCAAGCAAAAGGGTCTGTGGACATATGGTGGTCCTGAGTCGTCTTGCTCAGGAGGCAGAGCTTATCGGGAGGGATGAGAAGGAGGGGGAAGAAGGGTAATGGACCAAATGGTGACGGCTATGCTATGGCGTTTGTTCAGGCCCTGGACCTGGTGGTTCGGGACCAACCGAGTCCAACTAACCGTCTCTGTGTCGACTTCTGTGGTTTGACTCTCCGATGCCAAGGAAGAGAGAGGAGGAGGTGAAGAAGAAGACGACAACTATTAGAAGAGTTTTTCTGAAGGGTTTGATGACCCAAGTACCACGATGGCCCCAACCAATTGCTAGGAATGCTCAAATTTGTCGAAACAACACATTTTGCGTGTTTAAGTGGTTTCGTGCATTTAAATCCTAAAACTAATGACATCCGTCTAGGAATGATCTATTTAGGGTACATGGAACTCGACTAGGCGGGGTCGGTTTTCAGTATGTGGAATTAACTCACTTAGTCCTGAAATTGAACCGACCGAGCCAATTCTAGGTTCGGTCCTGGAATTGATGATTGTTTTTTTTTTTAATTTTAGTTCTTCTATTCCCAACAAGTGGGAGTTTCCTAAATATTAAAAGAAAAAAAGAGCCTTATTTTCTATTTAAGTGTTTACATGATCGGGATGCGGCGTTAATTGGTGATCGACTAGTTTTCCGCTAGATTTTATAGTCATTACTCTTTTACATGGCATCGTATCAACATGTGTTAAATAATCAAAGAATGTGTATACATGTATAAATATAAACAGACAAAATTATGGAGTAATGCTTAGAGTTTACTCCATATCAGTGAAAATTGAAACGTAATTTACTAATATAGGGTTTGCTTTAAAATTAAAAAATTAAAAAATAAGTAATATGGGCCACTTCGGTTCCTTACGTGGAATCAGGAACCGCCCATAATCAACTGGTTATGTTAGGTTCGGTTCTTAGGTTGGACTAGACCAATGCACACCCCTATAGTCGGCTATCCATGTCGAAGTAACAATCGGTACCCCTGAATTTGGTTGAGTGATTAACACTCTCATCAATGCAGTGACCACTGTCTAGCGAGGGTGAATGGTGAAGTTCTGGACATCGGTGCTGTATTTATTGGAGCAGACTCCTGTCTTAGTCACAACACGAGACGATTCACCCTCGATTTGTGGGGACACGGCTAACACACATCGTGCTAATTTAAGGTTACCTGAGACTTGTTTTATCAAAACAGCAACTCGAATGCGACCCAACCATGTCAAGTCAAGGACACACAAGACAACCCAAAATACCCATCCCAATTCTGATAACACCATGGCCAGCCTCACTTGTTGCCATCGCCATAATGTCCGCTTTTATCACAGCTAACATGAGCCTCCATGACTTTAAAATGTGCAATGCTAGTTCAAGACCGCGCGAGAGTCATCTACCAAAAAAATGCCCCGACCTGAACGATGTGAAATCGGAAGGATATATGGCTGTGTAGGAATTAGTCGAAACGAAAGTTCGAATATCCTATGTTATCTTAGAAAATTGATATTTGGGATGTGTAAACTTATTAAAGCACATTTGAGAATATATCAAAATCTCGAGTCACGCATAGCCTTGAAATTCTTTTTAAGTATAAAAGGGAACAAGATCGCATATTCAATCAATCACCTTCTAATACTCAAAATTATCTACTCAAACAAGTGTTGGAGTTATCACATATCGGGTGTAGAAGGAGCTAGTGGTCACTTTATAAGTGTAAGGGAAAGCCTCATTCTTTAAGCTAACTTTTTGAGCGAGAGAGACTAAAAACCATCTAACACTGTTCACTCCCATGTGGAGGAAGCCCAATGCCATGCATGCCCAAAGACCAAAGAATAGAATTTTCTCTCTATTTAAGTGGTAGCCATAACGAATGATCAATGTTAAGTAATAGCAAGAGAGAAAAAGAGAGCAAATAATCCATATGAAGAAATAATAGGGTTTCACTCTATTTAAGTGGTAACCGTAAAGAATGATCAGCGTGAGGCAATAGCAAAAAAGAAAGAGAGAGTAGAAAATCTGGATTTTCATCAAGATGACGATTAGAGGTTGATCTGTGGTTTGCAGTGTGCTCGCGACACATTGTTCTCAAATTTGATCGATTTGATTTTCATTTGGACCTCAATTCATCAGGTTTTTCGTGGGTGGAACCGAACTTGCGTTTTAGTGAGATTTATCCTTGATCTATTGTGAAGTTCATGTGTATTGCCAAAACGGTGTTCTTGATGTTGTTGCTGTAATGCACTTCTAATTTTAATTAGAGAAGAACTTTGTTCAACTAATTTTGTTGATAGTGAAGATTTTTGGTGGACTCCGATCAAGTGGTTTTTATTACCTCACACTGGGGAGATTTTTATATAAAAACTGCCTTGTGTTTATGGGTGCTTGGTATTTTTATTTTGGCAAATGTATTGCTCTATTGTATTGGTTCTTACTACGTTTGCACAAGAGAGGAAATTATTTTATTCCGCTGCACTAATGCGATATTATTTGGGTTGTCATTAATCTCCCATCAAAGTGGTATCAAAGCAACGATCTTGCTTGATTTTCTGCCTTGTGTTAAACGAGGGAAACATATACGAGTAGAATGGTTGCAAAAATGATTCAAATTATCATGTTTGGAAAGGGAAAATGGAATACCTTTTATACATTATTTGCCCGTATTTGCTGATGAGAAACTCAAGAATAAAAGTGATGTTGAATGGACTATATTTCATCGTCAAGTGTGTAGTTACATTAGGCATTGGGTGGATAATAATGTTTTGAACCATATCATTGAGGAAACACAGGCACGCAGTTTGTGGAAAAAGCTTGAACGATTGTATGCTCGAAAAATCGGGAATAATAAATTATTTCTAATAAATAGATGTTCGCTTTGAGATATTAAGATGGTACTCCTTTGACTGATTATTTAAACTCTTTTCAAGGAATTATAAATCAGTTGGCTGCGATGAGAATCGAGTTTGATGATGAGATTCAAGTGTTATGATTACTTGGTACTTTGTCGGACTCGTAGGAGACGTTTCGAACGTCTTTGTCTAATTTGGCCCCGAATGTTTAGATTACCATGAATTTGGCCAAGAGTAGTGTTTTGAATGAAGAGATGAGAAAGAAGACACATGGATCCTCTTCATAAAGGGAAAAAGTCAGACTCGAGGTTCAAGGAATAGATATAAGAGTCGAGATAAAAGTTAAGGCAAATCCAATAATTTTGCAAATGTTGAGTGCCATGATTGCCATCAAAAGGGACATATCCAGAAGTATTGACATCAGTTGAAAAGAGAGAAACAGAAAGAGAAAAGTAAAGAAAAGAAACAGTCATAACAATCGTGTTATTGCACTTTTAGAAGACTTTCTCATTGTATTTGATGGTAATGCAGTGAATCTTGTATGTCATGAGGCCAGTTGGGTAATCGATAATAGTGCATCTAGTCATGCTACATCTCATAAAAATGTTGTTACATCGTACATGTCATGTGACTTTAGATATGTGAAGATGGGAAATAATGGGTTGGCTGAAGTTGTAGGCATTGGTGAATGTTTGCTTAGAGACTAGCAAGGGCCCAAAATTAGTATTGAATAATGTTAAGCATATACCTGATATTCGTTTGAATTTGATTCCACAGGTAAATTGGATGATGAGGGGTATTACAACACCTTCGATGATGGTCAATGGAAGCTCACTAAAGGTTCTATGATTGTGGTTAATGGCAAGCAATGTTCTTTATTATACATTATGCAGGCAGAGTTATCCCCAAATAAAATTTATGCAGTAGATGGTGAAGATACAGTTGAGTTATGGCCCGAAAGACTTAGCCACATTAGTGGGAAGGGTGTGTCAATAGTGGCTAAGAAGAAGCTCCTTTCAGGAATGAAAAGTTTATCACTGAAGAAATATGCTTACTATTTAGCAGGAAAACATAATAGAGTTGCATTTAAAAGCTCCCCTCCTTTCGAGAAAGTTAGGTATACTTCATTTAGTGCATTATGATGTTTGTGGTCCTATGAAGATTAAATTACTTGGTGGCTCTCTTTATTTTGTTACTTTCGCATATGATTATTCAAGGAAGCTTTGGGTTCATCTATTGAAAACTAAAGATCAAGTATTATATGATTTTAAGCAGTTTCGGGCTTTAGATGAGAGATAGACTGGAAAGAAGTTGAAATGCATCTGAACTGATAGTGGGGGAGAGTATACTGGACCTTTTGATGAATGTTGCAAACAATAAGGTATTCGACATCAAAAGACACCTTTGTTAAATGGCTTAGCTGGGAGAATGAACAAAACACTGTTTGAAAGAGTAAGATGTTTGTTTTCACAAGCTCCTTTTGGGGGTAAGGCTTTAAATACAATTGCACATGTATTAAGTCTTACTCCACGTGTTCCTTTAGAATTTGATGTTCTTAATAGAGTTTGGACTAGCAAAGACGTTTCTTGCATTTGTGCACATTTCCAAAGATAAGAGGTCTAAACTTGATGTGAAAACACGACAATGCATATTCATTGGCTATGGACAAGATTTGTTTGGCTATAAGTTCCATGATCCAGTTGAGAAGAAAGTTGCAAGAAGCAGAGATGTTGTGTTTGTGGAAGATCAGGAAATACAAGATATTGAGAAATCAGATATGATTTCAATACCACAAGTTATTGATGATTTGGTTGGCTTGGATCCAGTTCCTTACACATCTGTTCCTGTACAGGTTGATGAGGAGTAGTAGGAAGTAAATGTTCCAAAAAATGCACATATTTCAGAACATGGTGAGACAAATGATACAATTTCATAACTAGAGCCTCCATTAGATGCTCTACCAGATATTCCAGTTCAAAGGTCCGCAGAGATTGACGATCTTCTACCAGATATACCATAGGTGAGTATGTATTATTAAATGATGTAGGTGAACTAGAGCGCTATGCTATGCAGGATGAAATGCAGTCATTTTACGATAATCATACTTTTGAA